CCTGGAGCTGCCGAGGCGTAAGTGTCTCGCGTGGACGCCCCTGCAGCTGCAGCTGGCCACTGCTAGACGCTCCCAACTGACCAGCCCCAGGGCGACAGCTACGACGGCTACCGCGACAACCCCAGCTAGTATACCACTCACTAAGCTGCTGGGGCATGAGAGGCTCGAGTGAACGTCGCTGGAGCTGCATCTGACCACCTGCCAGTATCATTAGCGCGGGCAGGGCAGGCGTGGCAGGCAGGCAGGCAAGCAGGCAGGCAGGCAGGAACGCAGGCAGGCAGGCAGGCCGGCAGGCAGGCAGGCAGGCAGGCAGGCAGGCAGGCAGGCAGGCAGGCAGGCAGGCAGACAGACAGGCAGGCCGGCAGGCAGGCAGGCAGGCCGGCAGGCAGGCAGGCAGGCGCGCAGGCAGGCAGGCAGGCCGGCAGGCAGGCAGGCAGCCAGGCAGGAAGGCAGGCAGGCAGGCAGGCCGTCAGGCAGGCAGGCAGTCGCTCACCAAAGGCTGGGAGAGCAGGCGCTCACCGGGCGAGCATGGCCGGCGCTCGACAGCGGCGACGTCGGGGCCGCAACACCGGCTGAAGAGCAGGGCCGAAGCAGCTGCAGGGCGGGGCCGCTTCAGCGGCAGGAGCAGGGTGGGGCCGCGTCAGCGGCAGGTCGGGGCCGTGGCAGCTGCAGGGCGGGGCCGCATCAGCGGCAGGTCGGGGCCGTGGCAGCTGCGGGGCGGGGCCGCATCAGCGGCAGGTCGGGGCCGAGGCAGAGGGCCGCGCGCGGCTCGGCGCGGGCTGCGCGGACAGCGCGCGGAGCTGCTGCAGGCCGCGCGCGGCCGCGCTAGGTAGTAGCGGGCCGCGCGCGGCTCGGCGCGGGCTGCTGCGGGCCGCGCGCGGGCCTCGCGAGGCCGTAGCAGGCCGCGCGCGGCTCGACGCGGGCTGCGTGGGCTCGGCAGCTGCGAGCTGCGCGCGGCTCGGTGCGGGCTGCGCGCGGCTGCAGCGGGCTGTGCGCGGCTCGGTGCAGGCTGCGCGCGGCTGCAGCGGGCTGCGCGCGGCTCGGTGCGGGCTGCGCGTGGCTGCAGCGGGCTGCGCGCGACTTGGCGCGGGCTGCGCGGTTTCGGTGCGGGCAGCGCGCGGTAGCAGCGTGTTTGCGGGCCTGACAGGCGTGTAGAGGCGGCGCGCGGGCTTTACGGGCCTCTAGGGGCAGCGCGCTGGCCTAGGGCAGCAGGAGGCAGCGCTTGTGCAGCACGTCACAAGGCAAGGCAAGGCAGGCAGGTACGTGGGGTAGCGCGGTAACCGCAGCGGTAGGTGGGCCCGAAAAAAAACGGTCCTACGGACCTTAGTGCTCTGAAACCATGTCAGAATCTAGCAGCAGGAATGACTGAACTAACAGGATGCAGGAGTACAAGTAGTAAACCCTAATTGGGTTGTACCCCATATGGGCTACCCCACTACAGCCTAGACAATATGCAGCACATATAGTTTGACACAACCCATCTTTTTTAAGTTGGATTCCGCTTGAAGAACGCTTGTAACAACCAAGGGTTGGATGGGATACTGTACAGTATTTTCAAATTTTGTTGAGGCAAGGGTTCAAACACTTTTCACGGCAAAAGCATGGACCGTACATCTCATTCATGCCCAGCCAAAGGTTGGAGCTTTGCTTTTTCTTTACACGTGGCTTCTCTGTGATCGCTGCGGCGTTTTACCCCTTGCCGCCATGAACGCTAAGCCGTCTCTTAGCGCGATTCCTCTTAGAGCATGCAGTTACTGGGATGCGACAACATTTGCATCTTATTGTTTGGAGCCAAGTGAGCAGCGGCGCGAGGGGCTGCCGATTATGATAGCTCTTGCACCAGTTCGCCGTCCAAATCTCCTGAAGCCGAACGCCCGGTACGTTCACGCGGCTACATACAGCGGTAGGAAGATCACATGGACGTTGGATCATCTCTTCACTTCCTAAGATGGTCGCATGTGTCAAGCATACACGCGGATTTTTCTCATCTGACGCAGATCCCGAATAATGCTGCCGCTCGCTACAAACTGACTTGCGCGTCCAGCTTTCCTCGAAACCGCTCAACTTCTGAATCGGTCGTCAGAGGCCCGCCTTCAAATCTCCTCGTCAAATCTGGCTGGCGGCGTGAGTTTGTAACGTCGCCAGCCAGGAAAGACATTGCCGCTCATGCCTTCCCATGCAAAGCCCTATGGGACAACGACAGGCCATTTCAAGCTTTGGAATTTAGCCGCGTCACGCCAGCGGGCGTTCCTTTTCAGAAGTTTTAGGGCGGCGAACTGGTAAAGAGGTTGCAGGAGTTATCATGTGGATAGCCCCATGGGGGTGTAGTCCTCCCCATCCATCGGGTTGATATCTTGATCCCTCTCACCAAGCTGCCACGCCAGTGGTACGGAAACCGCGACGGATCCGCCAGCTGCCGCAGGGATGAGAGGTCTTATAGCTCCAAGAATGACCGTATGATGCCGTATTACCACCGCATTTGGTACGTTAGCGCAGACGCCAGCGGTAGTAGTCGTTTTCCTCGTGATGGATCAGGAACGGCTAAAGGCGGCGGGTACTTCTCGTGGAAGGCCGGAGAGGTATGGTCAGTCTGCGAGGAGGAATAGTCCTCTTGAAAGGTATGGTCGATCTGAGAGGAGGCATAGTCCTCTTGAAAGATATTGTCAGATTGAGAGGAGAAATAGTCCGCTTGAGAGGTATGGCCAGATGGAGAGGAGGAATAGTCCTCTTGAGCGATATGGTCAGATTCAGAGCAGGAATAGTCCTCTTGAGAGGTATGGTAGAGAGGAGCCTCGATGGAATGCGCCCGTCCTATCGCGAGCCACTACTACAAGCTACGATGTCTCTACTCAGGACATAAGAGGAATTCCTCGACCGATAAGTCAAGATTCACGTGCGTTAGGAACGTTGAGGAGGAGGCCTTCTGAAACGGAAGGCCAGCGGGAATCCAGCGGGAGCGGGACGCGGAAGCGGAAGAGATCGCGCGGAGCGCTGCCAAGCGAGGGGGAGATCAAGGCTGCTGCTACTCGCGATGACGAGGCTCTTGCTGCTCACCTGATCGCCTCGAGGCTCCTTCCTGCCCCGTCTGCTGTTTCCACAGGTGACTGCTTTCAGACGTCTTGTTATTCTACTCGTCTTGGGCCAACTTAATCCGTTAGGACCTGACTTCAGTCACTCCGCGAATCCATTTCGAGAATCCTCCTGCTGCTTCTCTGCCTGCTTTCTTATCTCTAGCCCATCTCTCTGTCTCTGTCCCTTCCCTTATGCTGTCAAAACAATTCACCACTGCAGGAGCGCTACAAGCCATCATCCATCAAGCACGCCTTCACACAGCTTCTAGACCTCCTTTCGATCTTCTCACCCCCCCGCCAACTTCGCTCTCCTCTCTCCCTCCCCCCATAATTTCCACCTCCTCTCACACCTCTCACACAACAGCTGCTCCCCTCATCTCTTCATCCCAGCTACCTCTGCCTGACGCGGCTTCACTAGATTCCTTCCCCCGCCTGGCACTAGACACAAGCCATGTGGACCCTTCTACCCAGGGCCTTCCTGTTCGATCATTGAGCTATCTGAAGCGTCTCGCTGGGGGGCTTCCAGTGCAGTCTTCCAGCCATACGGACCTCTTTTCCAGGAATCTTCCTGTGCAATCGTCTGGCCATGGGGACCCTTTTACCAGAGACCTTCCTGTGCAAGCTTCCTTTCCCACAAACCCTTTTACCAGAAATCCTCCTGGTCTATCCAGCCATACAGACCCATTCACCAGGAAACATTCTTTGCAGTCATCCGGGATTACTGACGCTTTTACCAGGAATCTATCAGGGCGATCTTCTGGTCTCGCAGATCTTTTTTCCAGGAACCTTCCTGTGCAGTCACCCAGGCACATGGACCCTTTTACCAGGAACCTTCCTGTGAAAACTTCCATCCGTGTGGACCCATTTCCCAGGAACCTTCCCTTGCAGTCATCCAGCCTGACTGACCCTATCATCAGGAACCTTCCCGTGCAAACCTCTGGGCGCGTTGACCTTTTTACCAGGAATCTCCCTGTTGAATCCACCTACAGTGACCGGTTTCCAGGGAACATACAATCTTTGAGCCAGACCGCCCTTCCCACTGGAAGTCTCCCCCTGCGATCATCCAGCTACATACAAACATCCGGCTACAGCCACCAGGTGTCATCGGGCCTTTCAGGATTCATTTCTCCCGTCGATGTGACACCATCCACTTGCGTGGATCCAGCTCGCACCTGTTTTTCTCCGGAGGATGAACTTCGGAAGTTACAGGCAGCAGGACCCAGATTGCCGTCCACGTATGAGTGCAAGGAGTGTGGGAGGACGTTCAACTTGCCACAGTCTCTGGGTGGACACATGTCGAGACATAGACGAGGTATACTGGCTGCTGCTTCATCTCATGCCCACAGCATTTCCTATCACATGCCCTGTTGAGAGTGTCAATTCAAGTTATCTCTCTGAATTTTGGTGTATTGTCTCTGATTTGCAGAGGAAAGACTGAAGCTAATGCACAAGAAGAAGGCAGAGGTGGATACTCATGAGGTTGCGGAAAGCTTGTGTGATTTGCAGAAAACATTGCAGGAGGATTCTGGCATTGCTGAACGCGGTGCGGATGCACCTGGCTTGGAACAGAAGCAGAGCGTCATTCCAGGAGAGGAGCCAGTCGATATTCTTTGGAAGGACATTCAACAGAAGCAACTGCCTGGTGTTGCTAGCATTTCATATCGGCAGCAGCAGCAGCAGCGACAGCAGCAGTTACCATTGGATCAGAAGGCGAGTCACCATCCCCGACTCACCATGCTGCCGGACCGGGTGCTGGTGCCACATACATCAACTGGGGAGGAAAGTCCCCCACAGCAGCATGAGAGGGAAAGGTGTTTCGGACCAGCCCTGGTTCTGTTGCCTCCTGCATCGCCCCCTTCGGATTATGTGACTCGGCAGCATGAGCCTGTGAATGATGATGATCCTGATCCTGTTTCACACCGGCAGCATATGGTGGAGAATGATGCTAGTGGCATTCTCGCACCAAGTGGGGTCTCAAGGCGTTGGCCTCAAATTGTACAGCCTCAGAGGGACACTCATGGGACTACACACACCACTCCAACTAGCTCGCGCAGTTTGGAGTTCGACTTGAATTTTGCTCCTTCAGATAAGGAGCCATAGTATGGGGAGTCCACAGAAGAGCGGGCTAGGGACGTAAGCTGTGGTTGCGTTTGCAGTTTTTTCTCCTCTCATGAGGGGCTGTATAGAGCTCGTAATTAGTCTGTAAATAATGTTCTTTGGCTATTGGTGAAAGCTGTATAACGAGGATTCTGTTTGGAGCGGTACATTAAAAGGAAACTTATAACGGAGTAATTTTTTGCTCGAACGATTCGCACACCACCACTGGCCCCAGCTGGCAGCCACACTCCCACGGCATGCCCATAACCTGACGCCATGAACGTTGGTCCCTGATAATTCAGCGACATCGCGACGTGATGTTGCCACATTCTGACCGTCGATTGGGCCATCTGGACACATCTGCGACGCAGATGGTTCGGTTCGATCAACGACGAAACACATCTGGGAGAAAAAATCAATGTGGTGCGCGTCGATCGCGTCATCCACCTGCAATGCGACGGAGCAAACCAGCAGCTGCTGTCGTGTCGTGTCACCCGATCGATCACATCACAATGGTGTGAGATTCGCCTCGCACCACTTTTTCCAAATCGCCCCCATTGATTCCCACAAGCTCTCCACCATGCTTGCAGCACGACGCATGTTTGCTGCGGTTTCTCTGTATTCTAACCTATCCTAACTACTACGTACGCTTGCTCCTTCACGGGTTCTACTCACCCGTGTCACTGCCGTTCTCGTTAGCATCCGACAGAACGTTTCTCCTGAACCATCCGGCAACAGACAGAATCACGCCGAACGTTCCTCCTCTTATTCAGTTTGTCGCGAAGATCCAGTTTTCCACCCTGCGACCTGTCCACGAGTCTTAGGTCGCGACTTGCGGCTCGCGAGGTGACGTGTCCCACGCGGCCGTTACTCGTAGTAGGTGTTTGCCTGCGAACGTAATCATCGTATGAACTTTCCTCGGCTACTCCCACATTAGAGATTAGCTCTTCGAATGATGCATCGTACCGCGGAGACGAATGCCTATCTCTACACAAGCGACCTCTCACCGTGATTTCAGAGACGTATTTAATTAATTTCGCAGTTTTTATTTGTTTCCGAGTATTTTGCGTGTATCGTAACCGAAACACGGAGCCAGGACTCCCGGCAGCATTCGCGGATAGCTACCCAGATGATAATTCGTATCCAGTGAACCCAACGAACTCCGCCAGTGGGATTACTCACAGGCTCGACCTCGTGGTCGTACCGTCCTCATCCTAATGTCACACGGAACGGACTAATCCCAAATGGAAAGCCTGTAGCCCCGGACTCGGCGTCTAGCGGCGGTTTGAAGCTAGCATGGCTACGAGCCAGCCAGCGCAGAGAGCTGATCCAGCGGCAGCAGCGGCAGCAGCATCAACATTTCCAGCAGAAGCAGCGGCAGCAAGATTTCCGGCACCGTTGGAGCAGCCGTCGACGGACGCCGCGGACGATTTTATGGACTCAGCCCGCGGATCTTGGACGCCCGAGGTGCGTTTCCCGCCAGAAAAGCATTACATTAGTTCTGAGATTCCTCAAGTTACTATTTTCCTTCGCCTGATAGACTCTGCTCGCGGAACTTGGACAATCAGGGTACAACAAGGCACCCTTGCTTCTGTTCCCCTCCCTCCACCTCCTCCTCTTTCTCCCCTTCCCCCTGTTTCCCCCACTCCTCGTTACCCACAAACAACAGGAGGACGCCATATTGCTGCGCATGGTGCGGAAGCTAGGCGCGCGCCACTGGAACAAGGTCGCGGAGCAGGTTCCAGGAAGGAGCGCCAAGAGCTGCCGGCTGCGGTGGTGCAACCAGCTGGATCCGGCCGTGAAGCGCGGCGCCTTCAGCGCAGAGGAGGATGCGATCCTAGCGCAGGCGCACGCGCGGCACGGGAACAAGTGGGCGCGGATCGCGAGGTATTTGCCTGGGCGGACGGATAATGCGATTAAGAACCACTGGAACTCCACCCTTAGACGGAGAAGACTTGCTGCTGCTGGGACCGCCGGTGCTTCTGCTGCTGTTCCTGGCGTGGGTGGTGGGGGCATTGACGGTGTTGCAAGTGCTTCTGCTAGTAGGGGTAGGGATGGGAGCATCTATGGATCTGCTTCTGATGGGTATGATGCAGCAGCAGCAGCAGTAGCAGCAGATACTGCACGTGCCACAACCGAACTCCCTTCTTGTAACCACACCCTGCAAGCAGGGATGGTTGCGTCATCTCAGAAAGCGCCTTTTCCCCTCACCCTACGAGGCAGGAAGATGGCTGCTGGTGAGCAATGGCCAGCCCTTGCGGGAGACACTAGGCCAGGGTGGTGGGAGGCAGAGCAGGGGGGAAGAGGAGCTAAGACGATTATTGAGGCGCCTCAAGAGTTGTGGGAACCGGAGCAGGGGAGAAGAGAAGTTAAGAGGAGGAAGATGGAGAGGAGCCATGGCTCTCAGCAGCAGGAGAGTAGTAAGCCTACAGTTGAAGAGATTCAAAGCCCTGACGATAAGAGTGATTGTGAGAAGTGGTGGGAACCAAAGGGAGAGGCTCAGCAACAGCAGCAGCAATGGCAGCAGCAGCAGCAGCAGCAGCAGCAGCAGCAGCAATCGCTGGCGTCGCTACTGGATGACTCAAGCACACCACAGATGTGGGACTCGTTTGAACGCGCACTTGGATTAGGCAACGGCGGTAAATGCGATCAAGAGGCTGTCAATAACGCGTACAAGGTTCCTAGCAGCTTTAAGCAGCTCGGGACTGGCTCGAGTGCGATGCAAGAGATGGTCAGAGGGCGGTTGGAAGCTAGTGAGCGGGAGGAACAGGAAGGAGGGCTGAGAGGAGGGTGGGAAGAGGTGCAAGATGGAGGAGGGGGGGGTGAAGGTACGAGCTCGTGGACGGTAAAGAAGACGAGCAGGAGGAGGAGGCGGAGGAACGAAGATGCTGCAAAGGAATCGTCATCATCAGCTATCATGACTCTCGCGCTCCTCCTCTCCCGCATCCTCACTGAATCTAACTGCCCTCAAGACAGAGTTTCTACTCCCAGTCTTCCCCTGGTCAACCCTGCTACCGCCGCCGCTGCTTCTGCGCTCAACACTAATACCACCATCACCTGTTCCTCTCCTCCTTCTCCGGTCCCCTGCTCCTCTCCAACCGCTTCTTGTATACCCCCCATTGCCTCTCCACACAGCTCTCCACCTGTCTCCCCGCATGCCTCAGAACAACCTTCTTTGCCTGATCTGACATCCTTTATCGCCCTCCTCCGCCCCCTCATGCCTTCCCAATCCGCGCTGCCGTCTGCTCCTCCCCTTGCTACGCTACATCACTGTTATCAGCATCAGCAGCACGTTGAAGGGCAATCAGAGCAGCAGGAACAGCCAGGGCAGGAGCAGCAGCAGCCGGGGCAGCAGCAGCAGCAGCCGCAGAAGGATCAGCAGGAACAGGAGCAGGGTAAGCAGGATCAGCAGCAGGAACTGAGCCAGCAGCAGCAGCAGCAGCCAATGCAACGCAGGCACAGCCGGCGCTATTCAATCACTGAGCTCAAGGCTGACCTCGGCCTGTCCCCCACCGACCTCCACCACTCCCCCACCGACCTTCACCGCTCCCCATCTGACCTTACTCTTCCACCTACCAACCTTGACCTTCTACCCGCTACCCTCGACCTTCCTCCCAGTGATATGCCCTTGGAAGTTCCTGCGTTGGACTTGAGCTGTCAAATAGTAAGTGATGCGGACCAGTGTACTGTGGTTGGTATGGGTGAAGATGGGTTCGGTTATGAGCCAGTCCAAAACCGATGTGATGTAGGTGGCTCAGGTGGAAAGGGGTTGGAAGCGGTGCTGTTGGTGGGAGGTGCGGTTGTGGCAGATTGGCCGGATGGAGCAGACAGGGCAGATATAGAAGAAAATGAGCATGGGGATGAGTGTGAGTGTGACGAGTGTGCTTGTAATGAGGAGAATGAGATAGTGTTGCCAGAGGAGGGTGAAAAGTGTGGCCTTCATACCGCAGCACGTGATAAGGAATGTGACAATGGCGGGTGTGACAATGACCCAGACTGGGCAGATGTGATGGACGGCATGGATCTGCTGCCAAACAGGCTGCCAGAGGAAATCAACGGTGATGATGACGAGTTGGTTCCCAAGGCTCAGGTTTCGACGACCTGTTCCCTTCCAAGCAGCACCGGGGAACAGCTTTGCCCTGACACCAGCAGCACGAGTCAACTGTCCCCCCAGCAGGTCAGTGGTCTGCTGCAGCAGGTTGACTCCCTGCTGGCTCTGCTGCGATCTGCTAAGAGTTCCCCTTCTAACCGCTTACCCCCTCTGGCCACCTTCCGCCACTAGCCATAACACCTGGAAGCTCCAGATACTAGGCTATTTGTGCCTTTAGAGTCTAGGGTTGGAGGCTCTTGAAGGAGTATCTGCTGTGCCATGCCAGGTGGCCTTTTGCTGGCTGTGGTGCATTCAGCCAAAAGCTCCTCCTCCTCTTGCTGCCTACTCACAAGCACAGGTCATAAAGCGATTGGCTGGAACAAGAATTTAGCTTCGTGCATGAGCTTTGTAAGGTGTAACAGTAAGGATAACATGAATACAACCTCCTGTTGTGACAACTACGTAGCACGACACAAAGTTTCAGAGCTTGTGAGGTGCAAACTAGTGGCTGCAGCTGCTTTTGTCACCTAATGAATTTAAGTCACTCCATACCCGTTATTGGCTGCTTCGCTGTGACACGTCACACCCCGGGCTGATGTTGGCCGGCTGAGTCGACTATCTGCAGACACTTGTCAATAACGCCGCCAGGAATCAGATTGACGTTCCACAGCTTCACTAGATAGAGCATGAAACACCTGTGCATGAGGGTGGGTGGTGGAGGAGAGAGGGGGAGAGTGGGAGAGGGGAAGAGGAAAGGAGGTGGTCAGACAAGCAGGCAGAGATGGGGATGGGGCCAGGGAGGTAGAGATTGTGAACGTGTGCATGCACAGATGGGGTGCTTGTAGTATGGACAGATGGTGTGTGCTGCATGCAATCAGGTGCGAGTGAGAGGGAATGGGAGTGCAAGAGAGAGACGCGAGCATCATCAAGGGGACGAGCAGGGGGACAAAAACCACCACGTGGGGGTGCAGGGAAGGGCTGGCAGCACTTACATGCGGGTGCAAGGGGAGGAGGAGAGGAAGTCCTTGTGTGTGATGGCGAAGGCCTCGCATGCCCACGGCACATGTCTGTCCGCTATTACCCTGATGGGAAAAGACACACACGCACGCAAACGGACAAATAGAGGTCATCATGTGCAAGGGGAGGAGGAGAGGAAGTCCTTATGTGTGATGGCGAACGCCTCACACGCCCACGGCACATGCCTGTCTGCTATTACCCTGTTGAGAAAATTTGCATGCAAAGGCATAACAAATATATTCTTTTTCATCACATGGGGGTGCATGGGGAGGAGGAGAGGAAGTCCTTATGTGTGCTCGCAAACAAAGAGAGATAAATGCATGCACATAGGCACATGACCGTTGGAGTCGGGAAGCAGTGAGTTGGGCATGAAACAACCGAAGCACAGAGCGAGACGTAGAGACACAAACATGAGAGAATCAGAATGTGAGACGAGAAGGACACAGACTGTGACGTGACGTGACCAGAATGTGAACCAATGTCTCAGTCTGTGTCCACATTGTGAAGCGAGAAGCCTAAGTTCAGTATTGAGAATTCTCAAAAGTCATTGTGAGGTGAGAAACCTAAGTTTGACACTGCAAGAGGGAGACGCAAGAGTCGAGAGAAGCTAACAGTGTCGAACAAGAAAAGGCGGCCCTCACCCCCACACACCAACCCCTCACCTGTGGCGGCGTACAAACGCCATCCAACGGTGCATGACGCCCTTCTCCTCGGCCAGCACGTCCTCAAACTCGCCCAGCAACTTGCGGTCCGCATACGAGGCAGAATAGGAAGAGAGGCGCACTAAAAACATGCCAATCGCTCAACCACACCCTAACCCCTCACCTGTGGCGGCGTACAAACGCCATCCAGCGGTGCATGATGCCCTTCTCCTCTCCCAACACGTCCTCAAACTCGCCCAGCAACTGCAAAGCAAGGGAGAGGGAGAATAGGGAGAGAGGGGCGCTAGAAAGAGGGAGGTGAGGGGTGTGCAACTGCGGGGCAGGCGAGGGAGAATAGGAAGAGAGGGGCACTAGAAAAGGTGGTAAGGGGTGTGCACTGTGCAGGAAAAGAAGGGCGTAAAAAGAGGTAGCTGAGATGTAGGGGGAAGAGGGAGGGGTGTAACAAAGGGTAGACGAGGGGTAGGGGAAAGAGGGTCGGGTGCAACAAGTACATGAACTGCCCATAGGAGCCCCCATCCCCAACCCCCCACCCGCCCTCAACCCCCACCCGTCCCCACCCCCCACCCGCCCCCACCCCCGCACTCCACCCCAACCCCCACCCGTCCCCACCAACCACCCGCTCCCATTCCCCACCGCACCTTTCTGTCAGCATACGAGGCAGCAGCTTCGTCCCACTCGTCCTCGCTGTCTGCATCCTCCACCATCTCCTGTGCTGTGATTGGCTGGCGGAGGGGGGTGCCGCACAGTGGGGGGGGATGCGGCACGGGGTATGGTGCGGGGGCACGAGGAGGGGAAGAGAGGCGGCGGCTTCGTCCCACTCGTCCTCGCTGTCTGCATCCTCCACCATCTCCTGCGCCGTGATTGGCTGGCAGTGGGGGGTGGCACAAGGGTGGGTGTGACACAGTGGGGGCGGGGGGGAGTGCGTCGCAGTGGGGGGTGCGGCGCCAGGGGAGGGGGGGAGAGGAGGGGTGTGGGGGGTGTGGGGGGGAAGTGGGAGGGGGTGCGACACAGAAAGGGGGAGGGGTTGCGGGGGAGGAGGGTATGGCACAGCGGAGGTTAAGGAAAACACGCAGGGCAAGGACAGTTGAAGGCACGCGATGGGATGAAAACTGGCATCGATGAGAAGTTGGTTCTGTGAAAAGTTGCCCAAGAAAATTCAGTTGCAGAAGGTTCTCGAGAGGAGATTGATCGATTGGGGGCGCTTGAATGGAAGAGAAGAGAGGGGTTGTCGATGGTACTGTGCGTGGTGTCGAATCGACTGAAAATCAACTTCTCACCTGCCATCGCTGCGAGTGGTAGAAGGTTCTCTGAAGGAGACCTGAGGACCTGATTTTAGTGAGAGGGGATGGGTGGTGAGTGGGGAAGGGATGGTGAGTGGGGAAGGGATGGTGAGTGGGGAAGGGATGGTGAGTGTGGAGGGATGGTGAGAAGGACGCACATATTTGCAGCATGTAAACATGGGTTCACTAACATATTATCTCTGTTGAAATTTTTGGTAAGAAATGGCACAGCATGCACCACCCACCCACCAGGCATGCACCACCCACCATGCATGCACCACCCACCATTTCCTGCAGACCTCCTCTCTTGCCTCCTCTTCAGCCCTCTCAAATCGACGCACTGACACAATAAGAAAGGTTGGGGCGGAGTGGGGGCGGGAGGGGAAAAGGGGGGAGGGGGGAAAAGGGGGGGAGGGGGAGAAAGGGGGGGAGGGGGAAAAGGGGGGGAGGGGGGAAAGGGGAGTGAGGGGGGGAAGGGGGGGGGGGGGGAAGGGGGGAGGGGGAAAATGGAGAAACCGAGAGTGTGTGAGTTCTCCGTGGCAATTAAAAAAGGAGTGGGAAAGGACAGAAAGGAGTGGGTGAGACAGAAAGGACGGTTGGGCAGGGAGGGATAGGGAGGGGAAGAGAGGGGTTGCGGGCGAAACCGAGAGCGAAAGAGTGAGAGAGTGCAATGAAACATTTCAACATAGAGAGGGAGAGAAAGAGAGGAGATGAGAGTTGGGCAGGGGGGAGCGGGAGGGGGGGGATGGGAGGAAGAGGGGTGGGGGCGAAACCGCGAGCTAGAGAGTGCAATGAAACGATTCAACATAGAATGGGAAAGACAGAGAGGAGAGGAGAGTTGGGCACGGGGGAGCGGGAGGGGGACGGAAGGAAGAGGGGGGTGAAACCGAGAGCGAGAGAGTGCAATGAAACAATTCAACATGGGAGGAGGGTGGGGCTTCAAGAATCCTCCCCCAAATTTCTCTCCCCATTTTTTCCCCTAACACCATCTCTACCAATGCGCAGCCCACCTCTAACTCTTGACTCGACTCAAAAGTTCTCTCTAGCCCCCCCTTCCCCGCCCCCCCCCCACACCCCCAAACCAATTCTCTCCCCATTGTTTTCCCTAATCATCTCTACCAATGCACAGCTCACCTCTGTCTCTTGAAGCCTTCGCTTCTGCCCGCATTTCCGCTGCAATCCTTTGAGCCATTTCCATTGTCATTTCTTCTCTCTTCTTCTCCTCCAAAGCCTCCGCCTTCCCCTCTACCTTCTCCTTCCCCTTTCTCTTCCCCTTCCCCTCTGCCTTCTCCTCCTCCTCTGCTCTCTCCTCTGTCTCCATCCCCTTCTCCTCCTCCGTTTCCATTCCTTGCTTGCTGTGGCGTGCACCAGTGCTAGTTCCTCTCTGGCCCTCCTGCTGCACGTCTTGCTTGCTCTTACCCATCTTAGCGTTACCTTTAGAATTTCCAGCCTCTGCTCCCCCCTGCAGTGACACACTTGCACCTCCTGCCTCTGTCCTCTCTGCTCCTCTTTCAGGCCCCTCTGCTCTGTCTGCCACTACTGTCGTTTCTTCTCTTGTTTCTCTGCCCTCCATTCTTTCTTTTCCTTTCACTCCTGCTCCTGCTGCTGCTGCTGCTGCTGCTGCTCCTCTAGACACAGCAGCGCAAGCATCAAATGCAGCAGCCCTACCATCCGTTTCACCATCCGCACACGCACCAGTGGCAACATCACCATCATCCCTATCATCATTAACATCGTTATCATCACCCCATGCATTGTTGCCAATATCGTTAACATCACCGCCACGCCTGCAGTAATCCTCCCCCTGTCCTGCGCTCGCTCGTATGATGCAAGGCGTTTCTTCCCCATCCACACGCTGCTGTTGCTGCCGCTGTTTTCCTCTGCCGCCTCCTCGCTTGTTGCGATGCCTGATGGTGAAGGAGAGGGGTAAAAGAGAGAGCTAACAAACAGAGAGTGGGTAACTGGAAGTGGCAACAGAGAGAGTGGCAACAGAGAGAGTGGCAACAGAGAGAGAGGTAACAGAGAGCAACAGAGTCGTAACTCAAACTTTACGAAAGGTATTCGTCAAACGAGATAAGGGAGCAACCGCACCAGGCGAGTGACCCTCTAGCCAGCAGCTGCGTTTGGCTTTTCGTTTGAAACAAAGGACCCTCCAACCCTTCCCAACCATCCAACCCTCCCCCACCCCTCCCTTCCCCTCCGAAAAATCCCAACCCTCCCAACCACCTTGCACCCCTCCATCCCACCCCTCCCACCTCCACACCACTGCAAACCCAGCACCCTCCCTCCCTCTCACCAGAAGAACGGCAGGCCTTTGGCCTGTTGCCGATGGATTGATGCCGATGGGCTGACTGCTGGGCGCTCCAGATCCTGCATAAGGAAAAGAGATGCAGAGATATGCACAGAGATGCAAAGAGATGCAAAGAGATGCAGGCCCAGATTGTTAATCGGCTAAAAAACATGTGAGCCCGAAGCTGTTTCATGTTACACCGGATAAACCTATGTATTGTTTGTGTTGTGTGCGCACATGAAGCATCACATGTGCACAAACAGATGCCCATGCTCATGCTCATGCTCATGCTCATGCTCAGAAGTGCATTTGTCTAGAGCATGTGGTTACCAGCTGAGGCTTGCAGGTGACGTGGACGACTGGCATTGGCTGCTGGAGCTGGGGAAAAACAAAGGGAGAGAGGGAGGGGAAATGGAAGGAGGTGGGGAAGTGAGGGAGTGGAAGGAGGGAATGATAGGTGACGAATGGAAGGGAAGGGAGCAGCAGTAAACTATGGCTCTGTAAGCATTCAGTCTAAACATGATAAGTTTTTAGTCGACTAGAAAAAGGGGAAATGGGGAGGGAGGGGAAAGTGGGGGAGTGGGACAGAGGATTCATAAATCCTCTGTCCAAGGCACCTTTACAAGCATTAGGGGTGGATCGTGGAATGAGGGCGATGGGATGGGAGGGATTTAGAGTTGACTCGAGAATTAGAATGAGGGCGATGAGAGGGAGGCCGGGTTGAGAGGAAGCCAGCTTGAGAGGGAACAGGAGCTCACATGGAAGGTGTAGTCAAAGCGGCTGTGAGAAGCTTCCAGGTGATTCCTGAGACCCTGGTAAGCGAGGGAGGAGAGGAGAGTGAAGCAGAAAGAATGAGCTGCAGAAATCAACCGGCAGGCATCAATCGAGTTTGAGATGAATTCTTAAGAGCCTATAAATTCTACAGACACCTTAAAAAGCAATCAGCAATTCAGTGGGCATCATTCACGTGTGTGAGATGCTTTTTCAGGCGCGTTAGAAAGTATAGGCACCACATCATTCATTAACGTATCAGATGGGGCAAGAATCATATTGATGGCACCATGAACGTGTGAAATGACAGCTTTCGGTTGTCAACGCCGGAGAGTGAAGATGAGAGAGAGAGTAAAGGCTGAAGGCGTGAGGCACGCACCTTGGTGGTGCAGCATGCAGTGCAGCAGATGGGGCAGCGGGAGTGACACATGGGTTTTGGGACATCTCAAACCTAACATACGATAGAGGCCGAGACGCACCTTGGTGGTGCCGCATGCGGTGCGGCAGATGGGGCAGCGGGAGCGACGCACGGCCTGTGACTTGCGCTGGCTGCCGTGGCCGAACCAGAAGTGGAAGAGCACAGTACCGTCTCCACATGGCTGGGGGGAGAGGGGGGGTTGGGTGGGGGGCGGGGGAGGGGATGTTGGGGGGGGGGGTTGCGACTTGTAAGTCGATCCAAAAGCGGAGCACGGCTTGTGACTTGCGCTGGCTGCCGTGGCCGAACCAGAAATGGAAGAGCACCGTACCGTCTCCACATGGCTGGGGGGAGAGGGGGGGTTGGGTGGGGGGGGGGGGGGGGGAGGGGGGGGGGGGGGGGGAGGGGGGGGGGGGGGGGGAGGGGTTGCGACTTATAAGTCGATCCAAAAAGCGGAGCACGGCTTGTGACTTGCTCTGGCTGTGCGTGACCGAAACAGAAATGGAAGAGCACTGTACTGTCTCCACATGGCTGGGGGGAGTGGCGGGGAGGAAAATTGTGGCAGGGGGGCGGGTGAGGGAGAGGGGGAGGAGAGGGGAGGGAAGGGGGGCGTGGCGTGGGTGGTGGAGGGTTGAAACGACCCAAAGGCCAAAGCAAGAGTGAGAGAGCACGTAGCTGTCTTCACTGGGCTGAAAGAGGAGAGGAGGAGAAGATGTGGCAGGAGGGAGAGGGAAGGGGTGGCAGGAGAGAAGGGACAATGCATGCATGGTGCTGGCAGTGCTGGCATGGTGCAGGCATGGTGCTGGCAGTGCTGGCATGGTGCAGGCATGGTGCTGGCAGTGCTGGCATGGTGCAGGCATGGTGCTGGCAGTGCTGGCATGGTGCAGGCATGGTGCTGGCAGTGCTGGCATGGTGCAGGCATGGTGCTGGCAGTGCTGGCATGGTGCAGGCATGGTGCTGGCAGTGCTGGCATGGTGCAGGCATGGTGCTGGCAGTGCTGGCATGGTGCAGGCATGGTGCTGGCAGTGCTGGCATGGTGCAGGCATGGTGCTGGCAGTGCTGGCATGGTGCAGGCATGGTGCTGGCAGTGCTGGCATGGTGCAGGCATGGTGCTGGCAGTGCTGGCATGGTGCAGGCATGGTGCACGCAAAGCATAGTGCTGCTGCCACTGCCCACCCACGCTTCAACCCACCTGAGGGGGCGGCAGCACTCTGCCTTGCAGGAACACCCCTTGCTGCTGACAGTGCTGGCAGGGGGACGGCCGCACATCCACAAACAGGCGCTCGCTTATCTCCTGCAAGAGAAAAACATTAAGAAAGGGACTCTTCAAATATCAATTGTCATCACAATTACAACTACGGCTAGAGGAAGAGGCGGTGTAGTGCACCCAACAACCACCCTCTCTGTCCCACCCTCTCTGCTAAACCCCCTCTGTCCCACCCTCTCTGCTAAACCCCCTCTGTCCCACCCTCTCTGCTAAACCCCCTCTGCCCCACCCTCTCTGCTAAACCCCCTCTGCCCCACCCTCTCTGCTAAACCCCCTCTGCCCCACCCTCTCTTTTCCAACCTCTCCGCCCCACTCTCTCCGTTTCACCCTATCTGTCTCACCTGCCCAGCCTGGTCGGCGTGTGGTAGCGGCTGGAGGAAGAGAGCGGGTCGCTGCGACGAGCTGTGCGCTGAATGTGCTGGTCGGTCCTGATGGGTCATGAGAGAACAAAACACAGGGTGATCTGTGATGCATGGGGTGATGTTAACAGGATGGGATGATGTGTAACGCATGTTAACAGCATGGGGTGATGTGCGCTCACCACAACCCACCATCCCATCGAACTCACCACAACCATGCCCAGACGTAAGTTGATGCAGCGTTGCCGCCAGAACCACGCTCCACTGACTTGGTGGTTCGGCAACTGGCTCGACTGGGTAGGTTCGGCAGAAGCAGGTCCGGCAGAGGCAGGTTCTACGGCAACAGGATCGGTGGATAAATGACCCCAGAAGACGATTCTAGGCTCGGATGCACCATGTCCAAACATGGCTGAGAAGGCAGGTTCGTCGACAGATGGCGACACGCCATTGGCTACCACAGGGGCCTTGGAGACACGTGGCACAACGCCATTGGCCAGAGGACGCTGCGAATGTAAGTACGGTTGTGGTTGAGATTGATGGGATGCTAGTCCATTCAAACATGGGCTGTGCATGCCACGTCGAGGAGCTGTAATGGGAAGAGAAACGGCATACGGGGAAAACGATCCTTGAGCCGCCTTAAAGGTTGCTCAGGAGCGGTGATGATGGGAAAGAGAAACGGCACCATGGGAAACAGCATCATGGGAAAACGGCCGGAAAGAAGAAGGTGGATTGGGAAGCATGACGCCTTGGGAAAAAGGCAAGATTGGGAAAGAGAGAGCTGGTTGCTGGAGGGGAGAATCAAATGGATGAAGAGCAATTGGTGGGTGGATAGAGAGATGCAACACACTCACGGATGACGAGCAGCAGAACAGATGACGGCCCGCCGCTGACGTCCATTGGCAAAACCATGCGCCTTGGCAGAGCGGATATGGCGCCCTCTGTTGGCCCCTGCTCATTCCCACTGCCCTGCTCGTGTTGCTGTTGTTCGGAATAATGGGTTGATCTTGCTGTATTGACCCCGTTCGCTTCAACCCCATGCCATTCCCCTGCAGTCCCGTTGCCCACTGCACCACTGTTGCTGGTACCCGCAACCGCAGCAGGAGCAGGAGCAGCAGCAGCGTTGCCATCAGTGCCAGCACTGCCACCACCCCAGTTTTCGAGCACAGGCGCGCATAGCACTGCAGCAGAAGCCCTCACAGCATACCTGTCCCACGTGCCGGCAGCGGCAGGTGCAGTGATACCATTTCTTACTGCACCATTCGCACCAGAACCATTTGCAACTGCACCATTTGCACTGACAGCATTTGTTGCACTAGCACCTGCATCACTAGCACCCGCACCATTTGCACTAGCACCCGCACCATTTGCACTAGCACCCGCACCATTTGCACTAGCACCCGCACCATTTGCACTAGCACCCGCTGCTGGGGTGGCAGCAGCAGCAGCAGCAGCAGCAGCAGCAGCAGCAGCAGCAGCAGCAGGAGCAGGAGGAGTGCGTGTGAGAGGAATTGCAAGCACCATGAGGTGAGATGGCAGAGGATGGAGGGGCTGGAGCGACGGAGGAGGAACAGAAGGAGCTGGGGGTGAGTGGGAAAGAGATGGGGGACAGTGGGAGGAGGAGTGGATGGAGAAGGCAGAGGAGGAGGAGCAGGAGGCCATTCGGAGAGAGATGGCGCAGGTGCAAGGGGGGAGGTCGGATGGGTTGGGTGGGGTGTTGGGTGGGGCGGCAGATGGGGGTTCGTGGGTTCTGCAGATTGGAAGGAGGAAGAATAGAAGGCGAGGGAGGGAGGGATGTGAGCAAACGAGTTATACATGTGACCGGGAACGCGCTTGCAACACTTCTGGGATTTCTCAAAAGCGATATGAACAAACGATTTCTGGTACTTCCTCAGTCTCCCTATTCCTCATCCTCACCCTCCCGCCATGTGCCCATATTTGGCTGGCTGGCCATCTCAAATCCCTACCTCACCGTGTGGCTACGCCCCCACGATTCCACGGAGTGTGGGCATAGCCACATGGGGTGTGCCTACCCATCCTCACCCCCCATCTCCCTTCCTCACCCTCCCGTTGAGTGTCTCAGCTGTTGCTGCAGCTGCTGCCGCTCCTCCCTCTCCTGCTGTGCGGCTGCTTCTCGTCGGTATCTTAGCGTGCGCGGCAGGAACACACGCTGCAGGGGCGAGGGTGGAAAGTGAGTGGGGTCAGCTGGTTGGTCACGCTAGTGAGTCGACTAAAAAAAAGCCGACGCCTCTCTTCGGTAACTCAGCGTGCGCGGCAGGAATACACGCTGCAAGGGAGAGAGTGGATTCACTCATGGAAGGGAGTGGGAATAGTGGAAGGTCTTTGAGTCAAGAGAACAACGCGTGTCTCTGCTGCTCCTCCCTCTCCTGCTGTGCAGCCGCCTCTCGTCGGTATCTCAGCGTGCGCGGCAGGAACACACGCTGCAGGGGCGAGGGTGGATTCAGTCATGGAAGGGAGTGGGAATAGTGGCAGGTCTCTAAGTCAAGTGCACAGCGCGTGTCTCTGCTGCTCCTCCCTCTCCTGCTGCGCTGCCGCTTCTCTGTGATACCTCAGCGTGCGCAGCAGGAACACACGCTGCAAGGGCGAGGGTGGATTCACTCATGGAAGGGAGTGGGATCAGTTCAGTTGGTTGGTTTTTGAGTTGAAACAACTCAAAATTCATTTGCAACGTGTATCTCCGCTGCTCCTCACTCTCATTCTTCATCTTACCATTCTTCATCTTACCAATCTTCACCTTACCATTCTTCATCATCCTACCATTCTCCACCTTACCATTCTTCAACCTCAATCTCCACCCACCTTACCATGCTCAACCTTACCATACTCCATCTCACCACTCTCCACCTGAATATCCGACGCTCACTGTTCCGCGGCTGTGACGAGCCACGTAGAGTTGCATGTCAAGGAGGCGGGCAGATCTGCCATGGCATTCCCCAACTACCACTCTCCACCTTACCATTCTCCGCCTAACCGATGATCACCGTTCCGCGGCTGTGACGAGCCACGTCGAGCTGCATGTCATGGAGGCGGGCAGATCTGCCACGCATTCGCGCGGTGACTTTGACTTTGGGTCAACTCACAAGTCACGTCGCTCACCGTTCCATGGCTTTGAAGAGCCGCGTAGAGCTGCATGGTCTTCATGTACGCGGGCAGACCCGCGACGCCATCGTCGCCTGCGACGCCGTTCTCCCCTGCGACGCCGTTCTCGCCTGCGACGCCATTCTCCCTTGCGACGCCAACTTCCCCGTGAGTTGACTGAGAAGCAGGTCTGCCGAAAGCAGATGGGTCGTTTACGCCATTCTCGCTATCACCCCCTCTCGCCATTCGTCGCGATTGTGGAACCCAGGTACGCGGAACTAAGATGGGTAGACTTGACGCTTTACCTATAGTCGCCGCTCGCCATTCGCCGCGATTGTGGAATCCAGGTACTCGGAACCAAGGTAACCAAGACGGGGATAGTTGACGCGCTTTAACTAAAGTTGCCGCTTGCCATTGACGCGATTGAGAAAGGAAAACCACACGGAACCGACTCGATCAAGTCGGCGAAACTTTAGGGCTGCCGATCGCTATTAACGGGAGGTACGAGAATAAGTGCAGGAATATTATGGAGAGCGCTACGACGGCGAGAGAGATTCTGCTTATGGGAATGATGTTGCGCTAGGAATTCGGTAGCGTTTCGGTAGAGCTTGTCTCAAATGGCTAAGTGAGAAGTTGAGTAGAGATTGTAATATTACTATGAATACAAAAGCAAACACACAAGATAGATATAGGCTACGGGGAAGTTGCACAAAGTTGGCGTGGCGCTGCGGAGTAACCCAACCCCACGAAACTGTCGTGTGGATGGGTGAACCGCGCCTCGGCCAATCCCAACCTGACTCAGCAGGGAAGTCAATGCCGGGCTCGCCAATTCTCCCAACACACCTAGAAATGGCGAGACTCACAGGGAATCACCCACAACTACCAAGACCGTCCAAGAAGCACGCTCACGACTCCCTAAGCTAGCACCACCCCAGCAGTGACTTCATTAGCGCCATCATAGTCACACGACGTCATAAGGTCGGTGCAGGGCCGCGTACAGTCTTGGTCGTTCATCGACCTGCCAAGTCAACACACATCGTCGAGGGCCCTTGCTGTCGTAGGGCCCTCTAACACTCCCCTGCCATACTACAGCAAGGCCCTACACAGGGCATGCATACACACATACACACCAAAACAAAGGGAAACACACACAAACGAAGCACTCTCAAAGTGCAAACACGCACCGCACCAGCCATGGATAGGCCATGGCACCAACCACATCAAGGAGTGTCTAGGTCTCACTCCCCTCGCTCGAGAGCCTCACCTGCCCCACAGCCTCGAAGCAACGACTGAAGGCGGGGAAATGCAATGCCTTCGTGAGGTAGTCAGCTGGCTGCTCGCTCGTAGGGATGTACTGCAACTGCAGCTTCCTGCGCTTGACCATGTGCTGCAGCCACATATGACGACGCTCCATGTGCTTGAGGCTCCCCTTGAGCCCCATGCCACCTGCCACTGAAATGGCGGAGGAGTTGTCCACAAAGAGGGTTGTGGGCTCCTCACTCCTCAGCAGTTGAAATTCTGCCAGCAGGAAGCGCAGCCTGCGCGCCTCCTTCCCAGCCTCCACAGCAGCAACGTACTCAGACTCAGTGGAGGAGAGCGTGGCGCAACGAATCCTCTGGCTCGCCCAAGAGACAGCAGCACCCCCGAGCACGAAGATGTAGCCACCAGTGCTGGTCCTGTTCTGCTTGTCTCCTGCATCATCAGCATCGGCGTAGCCCACCAGCTCCAAGGACTCCGGCCCGCCACCAAACTCCAGCGCCACAATCCTGCTCCCCACCAGGTACGCCAAGCACCGGTCCAACTCCTTCCAGTGCTGGTCACTCCGCACTGTCTGGCCCGACCCCAGCTTGCTGCAGGCGAAGGAAATGTCGGGACGGGTGGTACAGGCCGCGAACTGCAAGGATCCCACCTTCTGCCTGTACTCCTCCTCCTGGCGAGACTGCCATCTCACGTCCCCGAAGGTCTGCACACTGAAAGGGTCAGAGGAAAGGGGGGTGCGAGGCACTCGCAGCGGCTGCTCCCCGTCGAAGAAGCGCCTATGGACCTTGTCCACATAGGCCCCCTGGTGCAGCCACAGCCTCCTCGTAGGCCTGTCCCGAATCAGCTGCAACCCCAAGTACTTCTCCACAGGGCTAATCTCCCGCAGCTGAAACGCACTCTGCAGCAGCTCACGCAGCTCCCCCAGCATGCTCTGACTGCGGCTGGCAGCAAGCAAGTCATCCACATACACCAGCAGCCAGCACATCTCCCCCTCAGCATCACTCTTGAAGTACAGAGCCTCATCCACCTGGCTCTTCTTCCATCCAGCCCCAAGCAGCACCCCATCCAAGGCCTCATACCACAGCATCGGGCTCTGCTTGAGCCCATACAAACTCTTCAGCAACTTACAGACACGAGGGGTCCCATCCTCGTAGTAGCTCGGCTGCTCCATGTAAAGGTCACGGTCCAGCACGCCATGGAGGAACGCGTTCTTCACATCCAGCTGCATCAGCTCCAAATCGAGTGCAGCTGCAATCGCTAGAAGCACGCGCGCCGTCACATAGCTTCCCACAGGGGCGTACGTCTCCTCATAGTCCACCCCTGCCACCTGCGTGAACCCCTTCACCACCAGCCGCGCCTTCTCACGCTCTACTACCCCATCAGGTCGGAACTTGGTGTTCAGGATCCAGCGGTTCTTCATCACATTCACCCCTGGCGGACGCGGAACCAACTCCCACGTCCCCTGCTCAATCAAGCTCCGCATCTCCTCATCCATCGCCTCCTTCACCTTGTCGCCCTTCCAGCAGCCCAAGGCCTCCTTCACTGTCATCTTCGCTATATCCCACTGCCTCTCAGGGTCGGCCACCACATCAGGATCCAGGTCCGTCCACTCCTCGTCCTCCTCCTCGTCATCCAATCCCGCTGGCTCAATCACCAAAGCCCAAGCATACTTAAGAGGCGGGATACCACGAGTGATGCGAGTGGAGCGACGCAGCGGTGCAGTGATCGTCCCAGAAGCCAACACACGACCACCATCTCTGATTCCCCACATCTCCTGCTCCCCTGTCTGCTGCTCCCCTGTCTGCGGCTCCCCTGTCTGCTGCTCCTCTAGCTGCTGATCCACCATCTGCTGCTCCTCAATCTGCTCCTCCCCTATCTGCTGCTCCCCACTCTGCTGCTCCCCTAACTGCTGCTCCCCTATCTCCTGCCCCCCACTCTGCTGTACTCCATCCATACTGCTCTCGTCCTGCAGCTGCTCAGTCTCAAGGCGCTGCCCGTCGGTGATCTCCACAGACGGTGGCACCACTATCCCCCCCTCACCAACGGGCGGCGCCGTGGAAGATGAAGAGGAGGGTGGAGCAGGTGCAGGAGGGATGGAGGGTGGAAGGGGAGAGGGAATAACAGGAGGAGGAGGGGAAGCCAAGGGGGGTGAGGATGAAGAAGGTGGGACAGGGAGAACCACACGAGGGTAAACTGAAGGCGGAGGTGGGGTGGGGACCGAGGTAGGGACATAGGGCATAGCAGGAGGTGCGACCACCTCCTCCTCCTCCACCGCCTCCTCAAGAGTGATCGGGAAGAGGGAGGGAACGGGCTCATAGGGCATCGGACGCTCCGCATGCTCCTGCTGGTGCCAAGCCTTCCATCCTGCCAGGGACATGGTCTCATAGAAAACAGCTTCCACAGTGGTGATGAGGCGGTTGGACTCCAAGTCCAGCACAGTCCAGCCCTTGCTCGCTGCGGACACCCCCAAGTGCAACCCCCAGCGAGCCTTTGGTGCCAGCTTCCCCCCACGCTGCGACTGAGGCACCATGTACTGCACCATGCAGCCCCATACCCGCACCATACTGACATCGGGTTTGTGTCGAAAGGCGAGCTCGTACGGCGTCACACCAGAGGGCAGCGAGGCGTGCTCCACGCGGTTGCGCACCCAGACGGCCTGCGCCAACGCCAGGTGCCACCAATGATGCTGTACACCCATGTGCAGTAGCATCGTCCGCACCGCCTCCACAATGCTGCGCATCTCCCTCTCGGCCATCCCGTTCTGCTCCGGCGTGTACGGGCACGTGAGGTCATGGATGATGCCTTTGCCGTCGAGGAAGAGCGTGAAGTCATGCCCCAAGAACTCGCCACCCCGATCAGTGCGCAGCGCCTGCACCGTGGTTTTGCACTGCCGCTCTGCCATCGGGAGCCACTTCTGGAACGCCGCCAGCGCATCACTCTTCTGAGCCAAGGGGTAGGCCCAGACGTACCGCGACTTGCGATCCTTCAGCACCAGGAAGTAGCGGCTGCCGTCCTTAGCTGTTTCACGGAAAGGGCCACACAGGTCAGCATGCACCACTCCAAGCAACTCATCCTCCTCCGCACCCACTGACGGGAAGGTATGACGAGTGATCTTCCCCCCAACACAGGAGACACACGGTATGCCTGACTTGCCCCCCTTCTCAAGGTCCAAGCCCTTCACTGACCCGTGAGACGCAGTGCGCTCGATGGCATCAATACCAACGTGTGCCATACGCGCATGCCACATGTCCACCTTAGACCGCACGCCCGTCGTCAAGGTACGAAGTGCCACCGTTTCGCCTTCCTGCTGCTGCGACAAACACGGTTGGAAGTTCGTGCAGAGAACACGCCCCTTGAACTCTGCACGCCCAAGAAGCGACCCATCTGGTGCCCGCAGCAGAGTCACGTCGCCTGCATCCAGCAGCTGCACGCCACTATCACGCAGCTGCCCAGCAGAAAGAAGACTCGCCTGCACTCCAGGTACGTACAGCACGTCTGGCACCAAGACACGCCTGCCCCCTTCTCCAAGAAGAGCGACTGTGCCTCGCCCCTGCACGTCCTGAAGCGCGCCGTTGAAGCCTTTCACTTGTTTGATACTACCGCCGCTGCTCATCTCCACAAAGGCAGAACGATCTCCCATGAGATGGTGGGAGCATCCGCTATCAAGTAGCACGACGCTCGGGTTCGCCTTCACAGCAGCTGCAAGAGCCTGTAAGCCCTCCCCGGCCTCAGGCTCCAGCACGACAAGAGGAGTCTGCTCTACAACGGGCTTCACCATCGCACATGATGACTGCCCGCTCCCCTTAGAGCCATCGCCCCCCTTGCCACTCGCGCCGCTGCCTCCAGAACCCTCTCCACCCGTGTCTGCCTCCTTATCTGCCCGCTGCTGACAGTACTTAGCAACATGCCCTGTCTGTCCACACACGTAGCACTTCCCCTTGAAGCCACCTTTCCCCCCCTTTGGCTGACCATCCTTAGCCCCTTTCCACTTCTCTCCTCCACCTCCAACCCCACCCCCAGTCTTAGGCTGCTGCTGCTGTGCCGTAGTGGGAGGGGAAGGGGATGAAGTCTGCTGGGATTGGGGCTTACCCTTCTTGGTAAAGACCTGGTTGGCCTGGGGAAGAAATTGGTCCTTCCGTCCCTCCGCTGCCAGCGTACACTCCTCCTCGATAATGTAGCTAGCGAGGGTGTCCTCGTCCAACTCCTTGCGTACCTGCGGCAGCTTCAGCATCCTGCGTAAGAGGTTGTACTGCTGCGGCAACCCCTTCACGACGTGAGTAATGTACGACGCCTGCGAGTAATCGACGCCGGCCATCCTCAGGTTCACTAGGATCTGCTGCGCACGGTTGCAATAGGACGTAGCGGACTCGTGCTCACCCATCTCGAGGTTAGTGAGCGCCTGCTCTAACTGACCGATGTACAGATCGTCCTTCGCCATGTACGTGCGCATAATAAACTGCCATGCCTGATAGCCGGCATCTACCTTCATGCGACACCCCTTAAGGGCAATCTGTACGGTTGGGGAGCAGCATCGGGAAATCGTGGTGAACGTCAGTAACTGCATTGCGCGGAACTGAGTGAGATGCGCAACTGCCTGCGTTGGTGGAATAGGAGTGGTACCGTCAATGAATCGCTTTAGCTGAGCGATCTCAAGCTGCGGCTCGATCGATTCTACCCACGTCGATAGGTCGTGGCGTCCTTCGAGCGGCTTAGGCACGACGATTCTGTCTGGAGTGAATTTGAAGTAGCCATAGTTGGGGGCTATTCCCTCATCCCTCGACATCGATCCAATCGGGGTAATGCCCGGCATAGCTCCACTATCGTACTCCTCCGCATTCCCTCCTCCAGCAGCGCTCTGTCGTCCTAAGTTCGTACGCTCGTGTGACGCCGCCGCACGATGAACACGCTCCTGTACACCGCCGACGCTAGTCGTACTAAACCGAGTTGGTCCTCGCAGGACCCCACGCGACATCAACCCATCAACCTCCTCGTCATCGTCACCTCCGTCATTGACAGCCATGTCCCACGCACTAGTGCCTCCCGCAGCTTGCTCTACATGTGGCGAGGGATGATCGCGACGCTGACGAGAGCGTAATCCCTCCAACATGAGCTCGTAATCTACATTACTAAGCTCGCCACGGGAACGACGTGCCACGAGCTCCTCCTCTAGTGCGCGAAAATTAACGGCCTCAACGTCCGCCTCCTCCGAACTCATCCTCTACGACGCCTCGATAAGGTGCCACAAATTAAAATAAATTGTTCCTTCCTTAAATCCCTCGTCTCGGGGTCACCTCACAAGGGTCCTCAGACGAGTGGTAATAAATTACCAAACGCCCTATCCTTGGGTCCGAGAACGTAACTGGAGGGAAATTAAGAGAGGTTCAACTTAATTTAATATGCGCCCTTCACTAACGCCGCACGCCAAGGCGAGTTTACGAACGCTAAGAAAATCGACGACGGAATTCTAGGCGTGTTCGTTCCACGCTCACCGCACCATGCAGGAATATTATGGAGAGCGCTACGACGGCGAGAGAGATTCTGCTTATGGGAATGATGTTGCGCTAGGAATTCGGTAGCGTTTCGGTAGAGCTTGTCTCAAATGGCTAAGTGAGAAGTTGAGTAGAGATTGTAATATTACTATGAATACAAAAGCAAACACACAAGATAGATATAGGCTACGGGGAAGTTGCACAAAGTTGGCGTGGCGCTGCGGAGTAACCCAACCCCACGAAACTGTCGTGTGGATGGGTGAACCGCGCCTCGGCCAATCCCAACCTGACTCAGCAGGGAAGTCAATGCCGGGCTCGCCAATTCTCCCAACACACCTAGAAATGGCGAGACTCACAGGGAATCACCCACAACTACCAAGACCGTCCAAGAAGCACGCTCACGACTCCCTAAGCTAGCACCACCCCAGCAGTGACTTCATTAGCGCCATCATAGTCACACGACGTCATAAGGTCGGTGCAGGGCCGCGTACAGTCTTGGTCGTTCATCGACCTGCCAAGTCAACACACATCGTCGAGGGCCCTTGCTGTCGTAGGGCCCTCTAACAATAAGCGCACGGAACTGTGACGATCAAGATGACGAAACAGAGGAACACGTGGATACTAGCCAACGGAAATAAGAGAAGAGTTCGAGGTACGTGACCAAACGAAGGTAAACGAGACGGAGGCAACTAACTAGTGAGGTATGGCAGCTTGGTGAATGGCCGAACTGGAGCCAGGAGTGGCGATGCGCAAAGCCAAGGTTACGAAATTCCTTAGTCTAACATCGTTATACACACTTCCGGTAAGAGACGAGTCTGTCAACATTGAAGATGAAATTCATATTTTATCACCTGCAGTTCCACTAGTATTTCAAAATATTTACCAAATACATTTTTCCCACGTACAATACATATAACCAATGTTAGAAACAGACTGCTCTATATTCCTGGCATTCCACTGCCCAAACCAAGTTGCAAATTTGCGATACCATAAGCATTTGCCCCTACATCTCCTTCAATCTTGAATGTCGGTCGTGTGATACCAGTAGTACCCCTCCATTCCCCATCTGACATCTGCACTCTCTGTTGCCCCAGCTGCCAACCATAATCCTGGTTACCACCTCCCTGGGAACTCTCCAACCTCTGCCTCCTCAGCCGGAGCTCATCTTCCTGTGCTTGTCTCCCTATAAGCTGCCCCTGTAAGAGCAGCAACTGGTGAAGCCGCTCCAGCTGTGCCAATTCCTCTTTCTCCTCCTCCACAGCCCCTCTTCCACCTTGACCTTGCATTCGCTCCAGTGCATGAGACCCACCCTCCAGCTGCTGAGGCAATGCAGTCTCAGAAGCAGATTCAGGCTGTGCAAAGGAAGGAAAGGAGCGCTGTTGGAATGGTGAGATGTAACCACGAGTGGAAATACCACCAGGCAAGAATCCAAGAGATGAGACAGTAGAAGCTGCAGCAACAGGAGGTGCCACACGAGGGGTTGCAAGCCACGGAGCAGGTGCGGCTGTAGCAGCTGTAGCAGCTGTAGCAGCTGTAGCAGCTGTAGCAGTAGGAGCAGTAGTAAGAGCAGCAGGAGCTGTGCCATCAACAGGAATCCCAGAAGTGAAATGAGGGGAACGATAGGCAGTGTGGGGAGCAGTTGCAGTAGGCAGAGTCACAGCAGGCATATTCAGGTCATTAGGAGCAGCCACTGCCCTTCCTATGCCTGCCTGTGCTTGCTGCTCTGCCAACGCCAGCAGCTGACTCAACAACTCCTGCTGCTGCCTCTCGTGCAACACCTCCTGCTGCCTCAACCCATGTTCTTGCTGCCTCTGCTTCTGCTGCTCCTGCTCCTCCTGTCGCTGCTTCTCCTGCTGCTGTTGCTGCTGCTGCTCCCCCTGCAAACGTGGTGGCCCGTGGGGTCGCAGCCACGCCATACTCCCAGCTGACCCCTCACCTCCTCTCCAAACCCCACCTACTCTCCCTCCGTCCCCTCCTCCTGTCACCACCATCGCTGCTATCCCCGCCAGGCCAACAGGAGGAGCATGATCAGTCGCAGCAGACACAGAGATGGGCTGATGCAGAGCCATGGGGATGTGGGATTTCATTCCCACACCACCCTGCTTCTGCTGCTGCTGCAACTGACACTGCTGCTGCTGTTGCCGTTGCTGCCGCTGATGCTGCCGCTGTTGTTGCTGCTGCTCAAGCACCTGCTGCTGTGCCCTGAGCTCCTCTTGCTGCTGCTGCTCCTCTTGCCGCTGTTGTTTCTGCTGCTCCTCTGCTGCTGCCGCCACTGCAGGAGCAGACACAGCACGTCCAAGTGTATCGCCAGGTGAAACGCCAGGCGAAAAACCAGGTGCAATGGCAGCTGCGACAGCAGGCTCAAGAATAGGTCGGCGAAAAGCAGGCACAGCTGGCACTGGTCTTATGGGAGCTACACCAGAAACAGCTGAAGCCTGTTGTTCACCTGAACCAGCAAATGGCAGCGAAGGATCAGCAGAGACATGCGGGAGGGAGGGCGGAACAGAGGCAGGATGAGCAGGAGCGAGTGAAGATGCAGTAGGAATTGCATTGCATGCTCCAGCCAGGTCGTAAGAAGCTGTTCCAGGAGGGCCGAAATGAGAAAGGAGAGAGTGGAGGAGCTCGGGGGAAAGGGTAGAGAGCAAGGGGTCTGGGGCAGGAGGAGGGAGGAGTGGACGGAACTGCTGCTGGGAGTTGGAAGTTCGCATGGTGAGAGCCGGTGCTGCAGGTGCTGCCAGTGGTGCTGCAGGTGCTGCAGGTGCTGTAGGTGGTGCCAGTGGTGCTGCAGGCAGGGCGGCTTGTAACGCGGGGTGTAGCAGAGATGATTTATGGCACAGTGGGTCAAGGGAGGAAAGCAGCGGATGCTGCTGCTGCTGGAGATTTCGCTGAAGCAAGAGCAGCAGCTGCTGCTGCTGCTGCTGCGCCTCTTGTTGCTGTTTCTGGTGCTGTTGCTGTTGCCCCAGCTTTTGCTGTTGCTGAAGCATATCTTGCAATGCAGATCTCTGCAAGTCAATCTCCATCTGCTCCTCTCCATCACACCCCCCACGGCCCCCAAAACCACGACCCCCTGCCACATCACCTTTCCCCAGCATTGACCCACGCAAACCAGCACCCAGAGGCACAGCAGCACCAGCAGGCTCACCACGGTCAATGCTAGTGGAAGATCCGCAAGGCATACAGGCTAAGGCCCGAATGCCTGGCATTGATCCGCACTGCACGTCAGCCCAGGCGCTGCTTCCTCTGGCTGCTGTGCTGGTTGCTGCGCTCGTTGCTGTGACTGCTGCGTTGCCTGCTGCGTTGCCCGCTGCGTTGCCTGCTGTGCTGTAGGCAGCACCTGCAGCTGGAGAGTCATGAGACAAAAAATCAGCGACGCGAACCAGCTGCTGTGGTGGCGGTGGTGGGGGAAGCTGAGGCACGAAAGAAAACGACGGCCACACAATCATTCCCTGCTGCTGCCGCTGCCGCCGCTGCTGCTGCTCCAGATAATTCTGGTGGTTCGCTTCGGCTTGCTGTAATTGTTGCAGCTGCTGCTGCAGCAGCTGTTGCTCATGGTGTGGCTCTTCTTGCTGCCATTGATGTCGCTGCTGTTGCTGCTGCTGTTGCTGCTGCTGTTGCTGTTGCTGCTGCTGCTGTTGCTGCTGCTGCTGTTGCTGCTGCTGCTGCTGCTGCTGCTGCTGCTGCTGCTGCTGCTGCTGCTGCTGCTGCTGCTGCTGCTGCTGCTGCTGCTGCTGCTGCTGCTGCTGTGTGCTGCTGCTGTTGGGGAAATCGCTCGTGCACTTGATGCTGGTAGTCTGTTTCTGCTTGATGCAGTTGTTCCAGCTGTTGTAGCAGCATCTGTCGCTGACGATTCCGCTGTTCTTGCTCCCATTGCTGCTGCACCTGCTGTTGCAGCAGCAGCCGCTGCTGCTCTGGTTGCTGCTGTGCTTCCTGTTGCTGCTGCTGCTGTTGATGCTGTACACGTTGCTCCTGCTCCTGCAGCAGCTGTGTGATTCGAGTCTGGGCCTGCTCCTCTGTCCTCCGCACGAAATCCTCAACCTTGCGCTCTGTTCCCCGGGGCAATGGAGAAGCAAAGGAAGAACTCAAAGGAGGAAGAATAGAATTGACCATGCATGGATCTGAGTGTAGATGAAATGTGCAGAAGAGAATGATGAACTGAATGAAAATGATATGTACAAGCAGGGATCCATTCGACACTAAACTAAACAGAGAGCCCTTGGCAATGAAAGAAGGAGGCTATATAAGCAGGAGGCTATATAAGCTGGACAAATGCCACTATGCCACGCACATGCACCCTGCCTCGCCTCTCCGATGCAAATTCATCCATGTGGCCTCCAAGCGTGCGGAACAAACCATACCATGCAACGAATCGTTCAAGTGGCCATGCCATGCCACGATCGCCATGGCAAGCACAGGCCTCACCTCAGCGGTGCAGATTCATGTGGCCGTCAAGCGCACAGAACGAACCATACCATGCCGCGAATCATCCAAGTGGCCATGCCATGCCATGCCATGCCATGCCATGCCATGCCATGCCATGCCATGCCATGCCATGCCATGCCATGCCATGCCATGCCATGCCACGCCCCTCACCTCTCCGGTGCAGATTCATGTGACCTCCAAGCGCGCGGAACGAACCGAATTCCTTGCCGCAGAATCGGCACTCATGGCTCGCCTTCTCGCCAGACCCGCCTCCAGATTTCCCTGTGTTCTGTGTGTCCTCTTTGCCTGTCACATCACCCAGTTCGACCAGAGAAGGCTGTTGCTGCAGAACTGCCCTCGTGTCTTTCTGCGTCACAACTGGTGCCGCTTCGGATCCACCCTGTCCTCGTTCTTCTGCTTGTCCTGCTCGTGCTTGATCTGCTCCTGCTTTTTCTCCTGCCTTTTCTCCTGCTTTACCTCCTGCTTTCTCTCCTAATTTTCCAGCTCCTGCTTCCTCTCCACCAACAACAAAACGTGCGCTTCCAGCTACATCCCCACCCCGGCCCACCCCAAGGGCTCGTCTGAGGGTGGCCCCAAGCGTTGGCCAATCAGCTGCAGCCGCCCTCACTTCGTCCTCGCTGGGAAGAATCCGCCTCTTCTTCGGGTTACCACTGCCTGTCCTGCTGCTGCTGCTGCCACTGAGCAAAGAGCATCTCTCGAAAGGAAAAACTTCATGACCTGCTTCTACTGCCAAATTCCCCACCCCCCTTTCCTCAGCCTGCTCAATGAAGGCAATACTCGCGCCACCCCCTCCCTCTCCTGCCAACTTGACTTCCCTCCTCTCTGCTGCCCTGTTCTCAGCCCTCCCAGCTCCTCTTCCGCTGCTGCTGGCCTTGAAGCCCAACAATTCTCTCTCCCTTGTTTCTGGACGCTCCTCATATTCCACGTGTGACTGTAGCGAAGGGTTCTCACGCGCCCTCCTGCTGCGGCTGCTGCTCAAGCTCCGGGCCAGGTTACTCTCAGCAGTACAGTGCAAAGAGGCGTCTGGCGCTACAGCCATAGATGGGGGTGCTTGTAACGGGGATACACGGTGTGCTATTGTGAAAGGCTCGCGGAAAACTGTAGTCGGAGCAGAGAAAGGAACGCATTCGAGCAACGACTGAGGAGCAGAGGAACGATCCAGAGATGCTTGGGGTGCCGTAGAACGGGCACTCGCAGCAGCAGCAGGATCACCAAAATTGGCAGGATCAGCTGAATCTGCCATTGGAATTGCAGATGAAGGGACTAGTGACTGGAGATCTTTCGAAATGAACGCTTAGGATCGCTTATTAGCGTAAAAAGCTCGTGTAATAGAGCAAGTTTCACATGGGCTGATTTGCAGCTGAAGACGTCTCGAGGATGTGAAATTCCTCTGCAAACTGGAACAGGCAGCCAAGTAGTCTGCTACCTCATCATCTTGTTCTGCAGAATTTAGTGGTTCGGCCTGCAGCCGTGACGCTCGCATGCCGAAGTCGATGAGGAGCCTGAGATCGCTACCTCAAAGCCCACCCACGCGGTTGTGCCGGAGCGAAGGCCACCCCCGCAGTTGCGCGGCGAGCCAACGGTTCTCCCGCGCGCTTCAGGCTCTTGCTGACACATGCCTGCTGTCTGCTTCCTCCGAAGTTGCCTGCTGCTCTTGAGATTTCTGCTGACGCTTGGGTCGTGTCGCGCTGTACGCTTGACCCTTCGTCCGATCAATGGACGTCTGATTTGGGTGAGTCGCAAGCAGCTGCCACCCAGCTGGCCCTTACACCCCCAAAATTATTAGATCATGTGAGAAAGAAGGTGGGTTTCACACGCAACATATCTCTGAAATCTAGTGAATGCCGACGGAGACAGCACCTTATAAGCAGCTTCCAAACAGCCAAAGGCGAACACGCATCCTGATGACGCACCTTAAGAGTTACGTTTACGCCGTAAACTACGTCACTGGTCATGCAGCAACCTGTACAAGCGTCAGGCGTCAATGCAGAAGTCAGCACAATGTCGCGCGGTGCTGATCGCAGCCTTCTCGCCATCCTCCCGAATTGATATTGCGAGAAAGTGGAACTGTAAAAATCCGAATCTGGGAAAAGGGACTCGCAGACTGAGACCTAAGAGGTAGGCGACTCTGTGAAGTTAGTTCAGATGAGCTGGCAACTGGAGAGTTGGACCTGGAGAATCGGAGGGCACAGTTGCCTGTCGTCACTATCGAGGGGAGTCTGGTTTTCTCCTGTACAGTACTTGAGTGGTTTGAGGGAAATGAGTCTGGCAAACGCTGTACTTCACCAAATTCGAAGAAGCGTAAAACGAGTTACTAAACCCCGACCCTCGTGCGCTTTTTGAAGGGATTCCGAGGGGCATGAATTCGTAGATGAGCAATCGAGTATCGACGATGAAGTAGAGATAGTTTCGTAGCATCGGTGCTGATAAGTGCAGCCGGCGCCCCACTTGCCCTGAAAGCGCAGCGTTCCTATCCATCCAGCCACACTCGCACGTCATGAACCCTCTCGCAGTGCCTCGCCCCGCCTGTAACGCGCACTGCCCACCTTCTCTTTCCGCCAGCGACAAAAATGGCCCCACCTCAGGCACACTCGCGCGTCGAGCAAGCTTCACCTTCGCGCACTCGCGCTCCCACAATGCGCAGCTTCTGTCTCCGCAGATCGCCCGCATGGGCGGATCGGAGGGGTTACGAGGGGATGTAGAGTGGCGGAACAGGGCGCTGGCGGTAGCACATGACACGAACGAGCCGCAATTACGCCAACAGTGCGGACCGCGATGCAGCGTGGTGAGATGCGGCGTGGTGAAATGCGGCGTAGTGAGTTGCAGCGTGGTGTTATGCAGCGCCCCTCGCATCCACTCGCCCTCGCAGCCCGGCTTATCTTTCCCACACCTCTGCCCCTTCCCCTGCTTAACCCCCCTGTTTCCCCGCAGTCGTCCCCCGCGCAGCGCCCCTACGTGGCGGTGCTGATAGTACCCACGGGCGTGGGCGCAGAGATCGGGGGGTTCGCGGGGGACGCGCTGCCGGTGGCGCGCGCGTTCAGCAGCGTGGCGGAGTGTCTGATCGCGCACCCCAACGTGCTCAACGGCGCCATGCTCTACTGGCCGCTGCCGCGCGCGCTCTACGTGGAGGGCCACGCGCTGGACCGCTTCGCGCGCGGCGAGTGGGGGCTGCAGCCCGCGCACAGCAACCGCGTGGGGCTGGTGTTCGACCGCGCCATCGAAGACGACCTCCTCCTCCGCCACCTGCAGGTCCCTGCTGCCCCCGCTCCCCCTTGCCCCGCTGCCCCTTGCACCGCTCCCCCTTGCCCCGCTCCCCCTTACCTGCATGTGCCCTTATCACCTTGCTCCACATGTTCCCCATCCCACTTGCCCCCGGCCCCACCTGCGCCCCGCCCCACATTTCCTTCGCCTCTGCAGGTGGCAGACGCAGCGAGGGCGACACTGGGAATCGACATAGTGGGGTACACCATCACTGACCGCCCCCTCAAGGTGCCCTGCTCCCCCCTGCTCCTGCCTGCTCCTTCCCACACCAGTCATACACTCTCACACTTCCTGCTTCTCTCACATCACAGCATGTGTGCGTGTGTGCGTGCGTCTGACCAAGCCCGTGTGCCTGTGGGCGTGTGTGGGGGGGCGGGCAGCAGGTGCACAAGTGGGTGGACGGCGCCACAGGAGCAGCCACGGGGCGAATCGACGAGGCGGACTCGCTGCTGCGCGCCGTGCAGACTCTCCTCGACACCCCCATCGCCGCCCACCCGCCCTCCCACGTGCACGCCCTCTCGCCCGCAGCAGCACCCACTGCCGGGGCGCGTGGGGTGGACGCGGTGGGAGTGGTGGCACGGTTTCCTGACGACGCAGAGGAGGCGCTGCAGCAGTACCGCGAGGGGAGCGGGGTGGACGTGCTGGCGGGCGTGGAGGCCGTCATCTCCCACCTCGTTGTCCACCGCTTCCAACTGCCTGCTGCCCACGCCCCGCCCTCGCCCCCCTGCCCCTCCTCCCCTCCATCGCCCCCCGCTCTGCCGCTGAAGAGGTGGGCGCTCAGCGATGTTGCTCACTGCTGCTGACTGCACATCACTCTCTCGCCGGCTCACAATATTTCTGCCTCGTCCGCCTCTTCCCCTCCCCTCCCCTCCCACGCGCCCCTCAGATCGGGCACACGTTCCTGCCATGTGTTCTGGCAGGCCTCTCGCGTGCCCCCCGCCTTGTCTCCCGCCATGCCCCTCCCGCCACCGCAGCCGAGCGCACAGGGGCAGGCGGGGGGCAGGAGGGGCAGGAGGCGATTGCGAGCAGCATTCCCACCATCATTGGTGGCGCATGGGACTACAGCAGAGATGCTCGCAGCAGCAGCAGCGGCAGCGGCACGGGCATGAGCATTCAGAGCATGGGGGGCGGCAGCGGGGTGGTGTGGGCGGAGGACGTGGACTGTGTGGTGCTGCCCGCCGATGCCTTCGGGGGCCCTGCCGCCCACGCCCTCGCTCACCGCCCAGGCGGCCCGGTCAGTGCTGCATTGCATGCTGCCATGCTACCCTGCTGTCACTGCTCTGGCTTCACAGCAACATGCTTCACTTCACAGCATGTAGCTGAATGCGCATCTTCATACCTGCATTCCCTGCGCCCCTCTGCCCTCCCTGCACGTGCCTGTGGGCCTCCTGTGGTGCATGGCAGCCGCTGTTCATAGCGGTGGAGGAGAACAGCACCGTCATGGACGACCCACCCTCCAAGCTTGGCATCCCTGCTGTGAGTTGCGACATGCCATGGCCTTCCATGCTCAAGCTTCGCTGCATGCGGGCATGAGAGCAAAGGTGCATGCGGGCATTAGGGCACAGCAGCAATCCTCACTCCTCTGCTTCCTCACCTTACTCTCTCTCTCTCTCTCTCTCTCTCTCTCTCTCTCTCTCTCTCTCTCTCTCTCTCTCTCTCTCTCTCTCTCTCTCTCTCTCTCTCTCTCTCTCCCCCCCCTGCTCTTGCTTCCCCGGGCCATGTGCATGGCAGGTGGTGGTGGGCAACTACTGGGAGGCGTTGGGGGTGATGGCAGCACACAAGGCAGGGGTGAGCCCGTGGTCGCTGCGCCGCCACGCCATCTCCCACATCCCACGCATCCACCCCGCCCGCTCTTGATGCCTGCCACAGCCTTCGCACCCACCACTGTGCCTGATTGCCCCTACATTGCATTGGTGATTTGTTCGCGGATGGGAGATTACAGGTTACACTTCGGTACCAGCACCAACCAACATCCTGTTGGCCGCCAAAATGAGGATGTCACAAAATTCTGTATGTCGCATCCTACGTTGATGGCATATTGTTTGTTTCAGGGTGTGTTCCTAGGGCCCCTTATCAGGCTAACCTCGTATAGAACTCGTTAGATTTCGGTTTATGCTGATATTTTATTTCATTTCCTTGTTGGCACGTGGCAAAGGCGTGCAGATTGTGATGTGCTGACGATTTTAGGTGTGTGTGTATGTGTGTGTATGTGTGTGTGTGTGTGTGTGTGTGTGTGTGTGTGTGTTTATGTGTCTCTTTCTTTTCGTTTTTTTGGGTTGCGAAGCAACCTATTACAATCGTTATGTACAATTTTTTTTCCATCGTTATGAAAAAAAATAGCGAATCGTGGCTAAGTGATTCAATGCTGTGTATTTGCCACGACAATTTAGCACGTGCCGTACCACATTCTTTCACATTTCCTAGGTAGTTCGCCTTGACTGGTAACCTATACTTTATCGATGAAACATAAACATGACTTGCCAAAATGATGTACCGTAACTGTGAATGCGTGACCGTTTATTCGGTAATGCATATGCCGGAATATATAATGTATAGATGAAGTATAATGATGATTGAGTGCAAAATGCATAAATATACATGCATATACGACTGTGGTGAATATACATGTGCTCTGTTTATTTCGGTATAGGTCCGGTGCAGTGAAATGAATGCATGGCATGATGGAAATGCGTGACAGTTAATTGACCCAGACCTTATGCTACCGCATCCCCTGCCTAGCATGGGGGGGAAGTCGATAGCATAGTTCCTGAATCATCCAACTGTTACATGAAACAACACAATCTGTGTAAACTAAAAAAATGATCAAAATCCATCAAATCCAGTTCAAGTGAACACACTCACTGAGTGGGCAAAGAACCTTCTCGGAAATGATAGCTTGACCATTTTTTTAAAATCCACAGATACGCATTGTTAATGCAATAGCAGGTGGATATGTATGAATATGCACACAGAGACACATACGCACACACGCACATACCGATATGCACACACAAAGACGAGTCACAATCAGAAAATGAACCTAAAAGAAATCTAACATAACAATGCAGTAGCATCAATCATTAACATTTCAAACAAAAATCAAACAAAATCCTTTTAATTTCCACATTAGCCTCCGAATGTTATAGCGAAGACCCTGGGAGGGAAACGGGGGGAAACGTAGTGGGAAGGGAAAGGAACGGGGCAGAAGGGGCAGAAAAAAGGACGGAGGCAGAGACACATTAGAGAACTACGATACGACGGAATTACAGGATTTGAAACGTAGGCAGGTGGGGAAGAGAAGTACAAAGGAGAATAACGAATAAAAATACCAAAATGTGATAATAACCGCATAGAGGAAACGCAATAATCTGGGCAAGGAAAGAAGAAAACATAAATGAGCTCGTATATAGTAGCGTTTTGATAGATACATAAACGAGCGAAAGAGTTTGACAGAGAGAGAGAGAGAGAGATAGAGAGAGAGAGAGAGAGAGAGAGAGAGAGAGAGAGAGAGAGAGAGAGAGAGAGAGAGAGAGAGAGAGAGAGAGAGAGAGAGAGAACGAGAGAGAGAGAACGAGAGAGAGGGGAAACGAGATAGAGAGAACGAGAGAGAAAACGAGAGAGAGAACGAGAGAGAGAGAACGAGAGAGTACGAGAGAGAGAACAAGAGAGAGTACGAGAGAGAGAATGAGAGAGAGAGAACGAGAGAGAGTACGAGAGAGAGAACGCGAGAGAGAAACGAGTGGGAGAGAAAGAGAGGGAGAGAACGAGAGAGAGAGAGAGAGAGAGAGAGAGAGAGAGAGAGAGAGAGAGAGAGAGAGAGAACGAGAGAGAGAGAACGAGATAGAGAACGGGAGAGTCGAACGGGAGATTGAGAATGGAGAGAGAGAACGGAGAGAGAGAACGGCAGAGAGAGAACGGAAGACAGAAAACGAGAGAGAGAACGAGAGAAAGAGACAGAGAGAGAGAACGAGAGAGAACGAACGAGAGAGAACGAACGAGAGAACGAACGAGGGATAGAATGAGAGTTCAATAAACTACGTTTTCGAAGAAAAAAATCTATGTAGCATATGGGGACAAAAACAGATTTTAAGAACGAAAAAACAATGCAGCTACGAATAGAAGGAGAGGCTCATTGAAGAGTCAGAAGTAGGAGAAGGAAGGTGAAGAAAGGATAACGAAAAAAAGGTAACGGAAACCAAGACAAACGTCACTAGATGCGGAATCTTTTAAAAGGAAGGAACAGCTCGATAAAATCTCAATAAACGGAATGACCGAGATCAGTAAGGAACGAACATGTGACTGGAAGGAAAAAATAAAAAGGGAAAAACAATAACTGGAAAGCATATAAATAGAAACATCGCAAGGTAAGACGAGAGGTAAGAGCGCGATAGGGAATGAAAAGAAACATGCAGCCTTATTAACGACCTAAGGAAAGCTGACGTCCTTACAAAGGCCTGGAGCTTAGGCTTTAACTGCTAGTTAAAACGACCAAATGCGGAAGTAAGCGAAGATCTTAGTCTAACTCGTAATCTTCTAACATAGTCTCTACTTAAACGCTACAAGTCTTCTCACCTTTAGGAGATAGCAGCAGATGGAGTGTGAGTATGGGTCTGATATGAAGAACTGGGCTCCACTCACGAGTGGGAGAGACAAAGAAAAAAGGGACGTCGAAACCTTAGAGAGGTTCAAATTTCGTCGCGCAAAAAAGGTCCATTTTTGTTTTAACAAGCCATACTGATGTGTCGATTGTGGCGCAGTCGTAAGTTGATCGGCTAGAATCCGAAAGTTCTCCAGTTCGATTCTGGAATGCTCAGTTAGTTGATTTTGGAAACAGACCACAACGATTGTTGGAACAAGTTTTTGTACACTCTATAAGCTTTACAGGTTAAAGTGCTTTTAAAAAATGCTTCGCAACCTTAAGACGATTTCGTCTCCTCTTGTTTTTCTTTGTATTTGATGGTAAGTGTTTACAAGAAGTGGCAACATTTACACGTTCGTACAAATGAAGCATATACAGATAAATAGTAGTGCGGAAACATATCACAGTGCTTCTAAAAGGACTACATAAGGTGGAGGTCCGGTGTACTTGATCTACGCACCTTGAAAACTGTTCAACCTCTTGAAGTGTGGGCTTTGGCAGCATATGCCCTTGAATGGAAAATATCATCGAGCGTGGTTGGGCTGGGGCTGACCTCAGCAGCATTCTGGGTCCAGGTCGAGGAACTCTTTCGGCTAGGGGCATGCATTTGTTTCTTGTTATCATTTCCTTCATCAATATTTGTCGTTGTCCCAGTTTCTGGACACAAGCGTGAACCTCAATCCGCGCGTCGCTATTGCCAAAGCTGACGTGTACAGCATCAGCAAAATACCAGCCAACCAGCACGAAGATTGCGTCCTTGCTCGGCGCCCATAAGCTGTACAGTGCACTCTCCAGTTGAATTCCGACTTCACTGTGGGGGTTGAGCCAAAGACATGCTTCATTCCTTGCGGTTGACAAGCCAGTTGGGCAGCTGCACTGTTGGCCGGCTGCGGGACGGGGCTGGCTTGTGCAAGTGAGGAGGAACTCGTATGGTCTTGTTTTTTCATGGACTGTACAACGGACAAGTCACTCCCCCCAAAAGCTGCGTTGCATCGAAATTCTCTTGGCGGGTTTGGGGCAGGTCAACCAAATCATGGAAACACAAATATAGAATGCTTCTCCAAACCAGCCCCAATCATCCGACCCTTGATTTCAAGAATTGATTCAAACAGGGCTCAAGGAGAACAAGCAATTGCCCAGGTGACAGGGCAGTTCTTTCGTCCTGACGGTCAAGGCTGTTTCGTGATGCGGTCTATCGGATTGGGGCAACTTGAAGTGAACTTTCTGCTTCGGTCTGGGAGCACTTGCAGTTCTTTCGGTGCTGGTGTGCTCTGCTTGTGACTGCCAAAGGTTCGCGCGCGCAAGCTCTCTCTGAATCTGTTTGAGCAGGCAAGTTTCAATTGCGCACATGCCACGTGGGAACGAACACATCTGGTAAAGTTGCTGTCTGTAGTGAATGCTCAAACGTTAGTTTTCCGCTAAATAATTTGGGGCGGGGCGAGTGTAGTACACGAAATATCATCCGCATAGCCTCCATTTGACCACTTGCACTTTCAATTACCCTGCGAGTTGGAATGACAATTCACGGGCAGCCAGCACTGTAAGATTCCTGGGGCAGCCGTACGAGGAGCAGCAGTGGTTCCACGACCACCGGCGAGCGGCACACACGACAGCTGCTCAGCTCACAGCCGGGCAGAGCAAACCACTTGTGGGTGGGTCTCCCCGCACGAAAGCGTGGTGGAGGCAGTCAGCAAAGCTGTTCCCCGTCCGTTCACTGCGCTCCACTCCGCTCCACACTTGCCATCTTGCATAACCATTCCTGTGCACCGCCAGCACCAAACAAAAGTGACCAAAATCCAGCTCCGATCAGTTTGCAATGGCAGGAGGGGAGGACAATCTTTCCAGTCTCTGGTCTCGCGTCCTTGCTTCCAGTGGCACTGTGATGCACAAGGGTCAACCTAGCGGCCTACGCACCACTCCCACGACCCCTACAGCGCACATAGAGTCCGCTCTCGCTCAGCTACAGTCACAGCTGCATCAATCGTCTCCCCAGTGAGCCTCGCGCCGCTCCCGCCGTTTTAAAAACTTCTTAATCTCGAAGTTTCCTCTACTATGGTTCACACCCTGCGCACGTCCCCTTTCAGGTGCACGTTAAACTATTTCCTTACTTCGTCTCTGTGTTCCGATCTCTCTCCCCCTCCAGCGCTCTCGAGCCGCGCCAACACACGCCGGTGGGCGGAGAGGCGTTCAACATCGAGTCGGCGTCGGCGGGCCCGTGGGCGTCGTCTCGTGCGCCTGCGTCGGGCGGCACGGCGGCGGGGATGAGTGCGGCGCTGGGGGCGAGCGCGATGGACTCGCAGCTGAACCACATGGGCATGGGCACGGGCATGGGCATGGGCATGGGCATGGCCTATCCATACCTCCTGTACTCGCGCGGCCTCGCTGCCTCCACCGCAGCGGCGGGCGGCAGCGCGGCGGGCGCATTGCCGTTCGGACTGCTGGGGGAGTCGTCCGCCACGGCGGCTGGCCTTCCCTCCTCCATTCCCTCCATCGACGCTCTTCTCGCCGGAAACCACGCAGCCGCCGCGGCGGCGGCAGCAGCGGGTGTGTCAGCGTCCTCCGACGTATCGGCGTCTCGCGATCTGTCAGCTTCCGCGCATCCCGCGGCTGATCTCTCCACCGCCGCCGGGTCCCGCTTCAACTTCGCCGCGTTTCCTACCGCCGCCAGCGCAGACGCCACACCGCAGGCGGCGTCGGCGGCGCTGCTCAACTTCTCCGGCCTCTTCGGTCAGTCCGCGCCCGCTGCTCGGGGCGCACCCAGCGGTAGCACTGCGCCGAGCGACGCGCGACACGGGCAGGGGCACCTGGCGGTGCTGCCGTTGGCTGGCTGCGAGGGCTCGGCGCGCAGCATGGGCAGTGGCAGTGGCGCCATGGGCGCGAACGACGCGGCGTCCGGGATGCTGTCGTCGTGGCTGCAGCAGCACTCAGGTACGGGTGAAATCGATTCCCACTTCTGCGCGTACATGCATGATCGCTCCCGCGAGAGGCATAGTGCGCGATGCCAACTTCAGATCTTGTGTACTACCCGCGCTTCTCTCCCGCCCGTCCCGTGCGCCCGTCCCTTGCGCCCGTCCCTTGCGCCCGTCCCGTGCGCCCGTCCCTTGCGCCCGTCCCTTGCGCCTGTCCCTTGCGCCCGACCCTTGCGCCCGTCCCGTGCGCCCGTCCATTGCGCCCGTCCCTTGCGCCCGTCCCGTGCGCCCGTCCCGTGCGCCCGTCCCTTGCGCCCGTCCCTTGCGCCCGTCCCGTGCGCCCGTCCCTTGCGCCCGTCCCTTGCGCCCGTCCCTTGCGCCCGTCCCGTTGCCAGGCCTGGCGGCGTTGGAGCTCGCGCCAGCCAGCACCGTGGAGCAGTCCGCCGCACCGCGCTCCTCGCAACAGCCCGACCAGCACCTGCCGCCGTCCCACTCCGCCTTACCGTTCGCCCGCACTGCCTCCGCGCCCTCCCCCTCACATGCGCTTCTCCCCGCGTCCGGCCCCCCAAGCGCGTCGGTACCCGGCGGCATCGACTTCAGCAGTCAGCTGGGCGCCATCATGCGCGCCGGCCTCGCCCCCTCCCATGCGCCCCCGCTCGCCGCCTCCGCGCCCCTCTCCTCCCCGTCGCGTGGCGCCTCCAAGCCCCCCGGCGGGGAGTCAGCGGCGACGGCGCAGCAGAAGCGGGCGGCGGAGGAGCGGGAGATGCAGCTGCTGCCGCGCTCCAAGCGCATGGCGCCGCCGGGCGGGACAGGCGGGCCGTTCCGCGACAGCGAGGGCGGAGGAAAGGCGCACAGAGCGGGCTTGGGGGGAATCTCCGCTGTGGCGGGGCCAGGGGCGCTGAATCTTGGGCGCATGGCGGCGGGGTTGGGGGAGGACGTGGCGCGGGCAGCAGCGAACGGACGACTGCTGGCGTCGGAGGATGGCGTGCTGTGTAAGATCCGCGCTAAGAGGGGCTGCGCTACCCACCCTCGCAGCATCGCCGAACGGGTACGGGGCCCTCCTTACACTCCATTGCCTGTCCTTCCACCGCCCTTCGCTGCTGAGCACCGCTTTGCACCGCACTATCCAAACTGAAGTTGCTGCTTCCTAGTGTTGACCTCGCCCCCCACGGCCCCATGCTTACGGCGGTGTGGTGCAGGTGCGGCGGTCGCGCATAGCGGAGAACATGAAGCGACTGGCAGAGCTGGTGCCCAACACGGACAAGCAGGCCAACACGGCCGACATGCTGGATGATGCCATCGACTACATGCGCCACCTGCAACAACAACTGCAGGTCAGTGCACTGCGCCTCCCCACGTGCAACACCAGCTGCAGGTCAGTCAGCCTCCCCATGTGCAACACCAGCTGCAGGTCAGTCAGCCTCCCCATGTGCAACACCAGCTGCAGGTCAGTCAGCCTCCCCATGTGCAACACCAGCTGCAGGTCAGTCAGCCTCCCCATGTGCAACACCAGCTGCAGGTCAGTCAGCCTCCCCATGTGCAACACCAGCTGCAGGTCAGTCAGCCTCCCCATGTGCAACACCAGCTGCAGGTCAGTCAGCCTCCCCATGTGCAACACCAGCTGCAGGTCAGTCAGCCTCCCCATGTGCAACACCAGCTGCAGGTCAGTCAGCCTCCCCATGTGCAACACCAGCTGCAGGTCAGTCAGCCTCCCCATGTGCAACACCAGCTGCAGGTCAGTCAGCCTCCCCATGTGCAACACCAGCTGCAGGTCAGTCAGCCTCCCCATGTGCAACACCAGCTGCAGGTCAGTCAGCCTCCCCATGTGCAACACCAGCTGCAGGTCAGTCAGCCTCCCCATGTGCAACACCAGCTGCAGGTCAGTCAGCCTCCCCATGTGCAACACCAGCTGCAGGTCAGTCAGCCTCCCCATGTGCAACACCAGCTGCAGGTCAGTCAGCCTCCCCATGTGCAACACCAGCTGCAGGTCAGTCAGCCTCCCCATGTGCAACACCAGCTGCAGGTCAGTCAGCCTCCCCATGTGCAACACCAGCTGCAGGTCAGTCAGCCTCCCCATGTGCAACACCAGCTGCAGGTCAGTCAGCCTCCCCATGTGCAACACCAGCTGCAGGTCAGTCAGCCTCCCGATGTGCAACACCAGCTGCAGGTCAGTCAGCCTCCCCATGTGCAACACCAGCTGCAGGTCAGTGCAATGCGCCTCCCCACCTGCACGTCACAACTGGTGTGTGTCAGTCAGTCACCCCACCTGCAGCAGCAACTGCAGGTCAGCCCCGCCGCAGCAGCATGCCACTCCTTCATGCTCCATTACCCCCCCCCTCTCCTCTCCCCTCTCCTGGTCGTCCCCCGTGCACCCCGCAGGCAGTGGCAGAGCAGCACCCCGACGTGGTGGTGGAGCGGTTTGTGAGCCGCTTTGAGCGCCAGCGCGGCGCTGAGGACGGCGAGGCCCGTGACGACCGCAGCGACGGCGGCGAGGAGGGGGGCAGCCGGCGGGACGACGGTGGGGGGGAGATGGAGAGGGGCGAGTCGGACGGGAGCAGAGGCAGTGGCAGGGAGGGTGGATATGGCGAGGGGAGAGGGGAGATGTGATGGGGGAGATGGATCAGCTGGCGTTCTCATTGCAAGCAGACAAGGCGTTGGGGGGCGGTGCAGGCAGTGGTGGCGGCAGCAGGCAGGAGGAGCAGTCTGGGATGCAGCAGCAGCAACAGGCAGCCCCACGTGGCTTTCACCTGTGACAGCGAATGCACACACACTCCACCTGCATCCTATGACCTGTGCCCCGCTGCCCCGCATGGATCAAGGAGCACTGCTTTCGCACAGCCCTAGGCCGTCTAGCCCTGCATAGCATACGTACAACTACCACTCGCTGACCTGTACTGCGTATAGTAGCATACCGTAAACGCCCGGATATAAGACAGTGTTGAATAGTAGACAGGGGTTGTCTACTATACGGGTGTCTCTTATAAACAGGCTAGCCTCATTATAAGACACCTATTTGTGTGTACGAGATAAGACATATATGTCTTATAATCGAAACTTCAATATATTATAGCGAAAGTTGAAATAACGCGTACATTTTTACCCTTGCGAAGCGCGAATTTCTCCACGCGCTGACCCAGGACCTACCAAATTTGCCTCTGCAGGTGTTCTCCATGACGTGGCGTCCCGGGCAGTGGTTGCCGAAGTGGCACCTTCGCAACATCCACACTCATTATGAGGAACTCTTTTTCAAGAAGTACGGAAAATATTTCTAAGTAGTTTAAAAAGTTTCCATTTATAAGATTTATAAGACACCCTAAAGCATCCCGTTTACAAGATAACTCAAGCATTTTTGCCCGTGTACGAGATAAGACATATATGTCTTATATCCGGGCGATGACGGTAGGTTAGTGTAAAGTGGTTCTATATATATGATTACTATTACATGCAACAAAACCATAAAACCACTCTAAAGTGGGGGAGGAACAGCAGCACGAGAGCACACACCTCATGAGGCCGGGCAGGCATAGGTGCCCCAAATGGGATCCTAAACCCTTGCCATGAGCAGGAATGTGGTAGAGCGCGTGCTGAGAGCACTGTGTTACAGTTACCATGACGATGGTTCATCCCATGCGGTGCACGCATGCACCCCAGGCTCCCAACCTGCAGCTGACCTCACTCTGTGAAGTGCTGAGGTTGGGCGGCATGAGGCGGGGCGGCATCAGCGAGGCGGCAAGATATGGGGGGCTAGTAGTGGGGTGCGGGGCGGGGCGGCATCAGCGAGGCGGCAAGATATGGGGGGCTAGTAGTGGGGTGCGGGGCGGGGCGGCATCAGCGAGGCGGCAAGATTTGGGGGGCTAGTAGTGGGGTGCGGGGCGGGGCGACATCAGCGAGGCGGCAAGATATGGGGGGCTAGTAGTGGGGTGCGGGGCGGGGCGGCATCAGCGAGGCGGCAAGATATGGGGGGCTAGTAGTGGGGTGCGGGGCGGGGCGGCATCAGGAGGTGATGTGCTCGAGGAGGGCGAGAGCGCTGTCCAGTGCATCGGGGGAGGCAAAGTCCTGCAGCAGTAGCTGTGGTGGGCAGGGGGAGCACAGGGGCGAGGAGGACACGGGGGAGAGGTGGTGAGGGGGAGACAGGGGGAAAGAGGGAGGCAGGGAGGCAGAGTGGCCGAGAAATGCGGTAGAGGAAGCATAGGCAATGGCGATGAGGGCAGGGTGGGTGGAGGGATGACAGCCCCCGCCAGCACCCACCGAGCTGTGCGCCCCCGCCAGGTCGATCTTGAGCTGGTCGCTGCTCTCCCCCCGCCTCGCCACCTGCTTCCCCACCCCCGCCACCTCCCCCGCCTCCAGCTTTATCTGCCTCCCCGCCCCACCCCAGCACACACATGGCACGATCCCCGAGCAGCACAGGGACGAATGTGGGGAGGCGAGTGGGTGAGGGCACGAGAGTGGGCAAGGGAGGGGAGCAAGGGCAAGCGAATGGGCGAAGGGAAGGGAGAAGGCAAAGAAAAGGAACAAGGGCAAGCGAATGGGCGAAGGGAAGGGTGTGGGCAAGGGAAAAAGGGCAAGGGAATCGGCGAAGGGCAGCACAGAGATGAATGTAGGCAAGGGAAAGGGCGAGGGAAAGGGAGTGGGCAAATGCTGAATTAGGCAAAGAGAGACGGGGTTGGTGAGCATAAAGGGGCTGGTGGGTGAGGGGCAGGGCAGGGCACTAACGGGGATGCGGCGGCCAGTGTCATCGAGGCAGAGGCAGACGTGCTGGTGTGTGATGTAGAGCGTGCCCCTGAACGCACGCCTCATGTCCGGTGTGAACGTGTTGTGCACCGGCCGGTACAGCTGCAGCAGCCGACAGGGGAAGGCTGGTTGGTCGGGGGGGAGGGGGGGAGAGAGGGGAGTGGGAGGTGGGGGTGAGGAGTGAAGTGATGCGCAGTGCAGCGAGAAGGAGGAGGTGAGAGGAGCGCAAATGGTGGTGAGGGCGAGAAGCGGAAAGAAGTCGATGGATGGAAGTGTGGAGTGTGAGGAAGCCATGAGATGATGGGTGCGAAAGGAATGGATGAAGGATGGGGGAGGATGGGGGAGGGAGCATTGAGGAAAGGGGACAACAGGCACAGCAGCATGACAGGCACAGCAGCATGACAGGCACAGCAGCACAGTGTACACGGCTCGCATGGAACATTCCACGCACCTTCCAGCAGGGTCTCATGGGTGGGCAGGCCAAAGATGGCCTGCAGGTCGATGGCTCTGGATGGGTGTGGCGACCGTGCACTGCCCTCCGCCCCCTCCCGCCCCTCCTCCTCCGCGCCCCCCGCCCCCCTGCCATCACCCCCCCTGGCCTTGACCGCCTCTGCCTGCGCTGTGCTTCCAGCGGCCCCAGCGGGGGCAGTGGGGTTGTCGGAGGGGTAGGCGATGGCGGAGTCAAAGACACTGAAGAGAGACACAAAGCCCGTGCTCAGCCCTGTCACCTGCTCCTCGCACTCCCATGCACGCACACACACACACACATACACACACACATGCACGCGCATGAACACGCACGCACGCACACGCACACGCGTGTGCGCACCGCGCACGCACTCACGCACGCGCACGCGCACGCACGCACAAACACACGCACACGCATTAACACGCACGCACGCACGCAGGCACGCACGCACACGCAGGCACACGGGGAGAGGAGAGGAGGGGAGGGGCTGTGAGGGAGTGGAGGCGTCGTGCAGGTGAGGCCGCAGGCAGGGCTTTAAGGAATGCCAAGAGCGCCGCAGACCGTTGCCCCTCACACGCTCGCCCCTCCCCCCCTCACCCCGCACTCGCTCGCCCTTCCCCCGCCCGCCCCACTCCCCCTCTCCTCTCCCCCTCCCCCCCCCCCCGCCCCCCCCCCCCTCCCCCCCTTTTTATTTCCCCCGCCCGCCCCTCCCCCCGCGCGCCCCTCCCCCGCCCGCTCCTCCCCCGCGCGCCCTTCCCCCCCAACCCCCCACCCGTCGCCACTCACCCGCTCGCCCAGGCTGCTGACGACGGCGGCTGCCTCGGCGCCCGCGCTGCTCGCGAGCCCCGCCACGCCCGCCGCCACTCCCGCCGCCACCTGCCCCACAGCCGCCGCCACCTCGCCCTGCGCCGACCCGCCCGCCGCGACTCTCTCTCGTTCCTGCGCCTTCGACGGCGCCACCAGCGCAGCTGCGGATGCCGCCTCGACCTGCCCTGGGGGCTCCGCGCGTTCCTCCCGCGCATCGCCGAGCGCGCCATCGCTGCCTGGTGGTCCCGCGGACGAGTCGTCCGCCTTCGCCTCCGACCCACCAGCGGCTGCGCCCCCTGCAGCCTCCCTGTCTGCCAGTTCGCCTGCCGTAGCCACATCGGACGGACCCGGTCGCTCCACGAGAATTGGAGAATCTGAGCCGTCCGATTGCGAGTCAGCGGCGTCTGCGTGGGTGGACGCCATGACAGCCGCCACGAGCGGCGCGCGGACCGTCGCTGCCGCGCCCGTGGGAGGGGATTGGAAGGAGCGAGATGTTCACTAGAGACTGACGACCACTGCCGCGTGCCGAATTGAGCGCGCTCGCGCTGAAGTCCTGTTGCGATGATGGAGATTAGGGCGTGGCGCATGATAAGGGCGAGGGTGAATGGGCAGGATTTGTGGGTGAATGGAGGTTTGTTCGGCCGAAGTTCGTGTATGGATTGAAGACGATGGCGAAATAGTTGAATTTAAAAAAGCATTTGTGCAAATAGTGAAGAAACAGGAAAGAATATCCATTTTGAGATACTTGAACGGACTCTTTTAAGCAAACTGATGTTAAACTTCATCTCTAATCCTGGTGAGGACGGTCGCCCTGGGCCGGCAGGGCGGCGGGCAGATGGTCGGGTGGGTGGAAGCCAGGCAGCAGTGATGTGAGGAAACCCACCACAAACACCTGCACCTCCTGTAACCACCCCCGCCGCCGCTGCTGCTGCTGCTGCTGCTGCTGCTGCACCCCCTGCTGTGGTGGCTGCTGCTGCAAGGCTTGAGCAGCTGCAACACACAAGATGAAACAAAGGTGAGACACACAATAAGACCCAAGATGGGAATGGAGAATAACTGAGCATGAAATGCATGGCGAGAAGCAGCCAGGGAAGAGAGCGGTGGCACAGTCAACAACAGCAGGCACTAGGGGTGGGCAGGCAAGAGGGGTGGGCAGGCAAGAGGCGTGGGCAGGCAATAGGGGTGGGCAGGCAAGAGGGGTGGGCAGACAAGAGGCGTGGGCAGGCAATAGGGGTGGGCAGGCAAGGGGGGTGGAGTAGGGAAGAAGGGTGGGTACGGAAGAGAATTGGGGTAGGGAAGATGGGTGGGGCAGAGAGCACTTAGCCTCGCACCTGCTTGGCCCTGCACACCACCGGCCGCCCCGCCAACACCTCCCTCCGCCCCTGGCGCCTCTCCCCCACCCCCTGCAGCCCCTGCCCCAGCCTGAGGTGGCGCTGCAGCATTGGCGGCAGCAGCGGCGTGGGGGGGGTGGGGGTGAGGCGGCAGGCCCATGGCAGCCTGCGCGCGGTGGGAGAGCCACCGCAGCACCGGCGCCAGCACCCCCGCTTGGTACCTGCCCATGGGGGAGAGGGCGCGCAGATGGGAGGGCGTGAGGAGGGCGGGGAAGAGGCGAAGAGCCGACAACAACACAGATTACTAGTGTGAGCCAACAACAAGCTGGGCGGCTCACAGGTAGATGAGGAGAGCAGCAGCGATGAGGGCAAAGAAGCGGCGGTAGCCCCCGCCCTGGCCGAAGACATAGACAAGCAGCGTGAGCTTGAGCAGCAGCATGAGGTCAATGCGGATCGCAAACTGAATGCGCCGCACTCGAGGCGCGCCCTCCACTGCTGCCGGCCCCCCCACCCCCACATGTGCTGCTGCATCCCCTGCCACCCTGCCTCCTCCTTGCACCCCTGCAAGCCCACCTGCACCCCCCCTCTGTGCAGCAGCGGCAGCAGCGGCCATGGCAGCGTGGTGCTCCGCCATCTGCTGCTGCCGCACCGCCTGCATCACCGCCTGCAGCCGCTGCTGCAGCTGCTGCTGCCACTCCTCCTCCACCCCGCCCACTGCACCCGCCTGCCTCGCGTGCTGCTGCACTGCCCCCGCTGCTGCCGCCCCGTCCCCCACAGCACCTGCCACAGCAGCAGGGGCGGCAGCAGGGGCGGCGGGGTGGGGCTGTGCTGCCCCTGGCTGAGGCAAAGGTGCCGCCGCCGCTGCTGCTGCTGGTGCGGGCGGTGGTGGTGCGAGGCCCACAGCTGGTGGGTGGTGCGTGTGGGTGTGTGCAGGCGCGCCAACAGAGGGGGCGGGGCTGGCAGCACAAGGCAGGGGCGCATAGGCAGAGGCACATGGCGGGGCGAGGGGATCAAGGGGAGAAGAAGCGGTGATAAGAATGTGGGGAAACAGAACAGCTGCAGTGGGCTCAAGCTAAAAAGGAAAAACTAAAGCAGTCGAGCTGTAAGCATGAAGAGAAAAAAGCACCTCTCGCACTGCTATGATCCCCCTCGCAATGGCAGCACATCTCACCTGCTGCCATTGCTGGCGAATGGGTGCGGAGGAGGCATGGCGGGTGGGAAGGCGAAGGGAGGCATGGGAGGTGCGAAGGTGATAGGTGGGTAGGAATCACCAGGCATGGGCATGGGCGGAGGGGAGGGCCAGGGGAAAGGGAAAGCGAAGGGGAAGGGCATGGGCGGTATGGAGAGGGGCAGCAGAGGGGGGTAGAGAGCAGGCGCAGGCAGGGGAGAGTCGGGGGGCGGCATGAAGGGCGGCAGCATGAACGGCGAGTATGGCGGCGGCAGGCCCGGCAGCGGCGGCGCCATGAGAGGCGTGAAGGGCAGCGGCGGCACCCCCGTGGGCGCGCTGTGCTGCAGCGCCGCGAGCAGCTGCAGGGGGCACAGGACGGGGGGTGGAGGGCACAGGGGCGTGTGGGAATAGAGCACACGAAAGAGCGGAGAGGCGAGGGTAGAACGGGGGGGGGCGGGGAAGACAGAAAATGGGAGCAGAAGCGACTGAGCGGTCACCTGAAGGATGGCTTGCTGCTGCTCTCCTCCCCCACCAGCAGCGACTTGCGAAACCGCTGGAGTTGTGGGTGCTGTTGCTGCTGCCGTTGCCGCTGTTGTTGCCGCTGTTGCCGCTGTTGCTGCTGCTGTGGGTGCTCCCCCTCCTGCCTCTCCCCCGCCGGCTGTAAGCCCCCCATCCGCTGCGCCAGAACCCGCGCCTGCAGCAGCCACAGCGGGCGCTACAGCTGCAGCGGGCGGCGCTACAGCCGGTGCGCCTGCCTCCACTGCGCGCGCCTGCCCGGACCCCGGGACAGAGCCTGCGCGCTGCAGTGAGGCGGCGGCGGCGGGCGCAGGGATTGGCGCAGGCGCGGCAGGGAAAGGCGCAAGCGCGGGGTTGGAGGCAGGGACGGTGGCGCGCGAGTGAGCGCGCGAAGAGGAGGAGGGCGTGGGGGAGACGGAGCGACTGGAGTGAGTGGTGGAGGGCACGGAGGAAGGCGCGGAGGTCGGCGCAGAGGACGGCGCGGACGAGGCGCCGGGGGGAGCGGAGGAGACGACGAGGTGCATCACCTGGGGCTCGCTCAGGTTCTTCTGCGCGCGGGGGAGCGCAGGGGGAGAGGGAAGCGCAGAGATTGCTGGCACGTGAAACGAGTCACACTCAAGCACATCCTTTTCTCTGACGCAATTGCACGTGACGGAACAAGCAACTCAGGCCGACTGAATCTTCCCGGTCCCGAATAATAAGGATTTCCGGGAGCAACCACAGTCTTCCGCCCACCATGACTCTGATCGACACCTCGAGACGTATAGCTCCGCGACATGCCCGCAATAACGATGAGCGCGCCGACCACCCGTTAAACGACTGAGACGGTGGGAGCACAGCTTGCGGGCGGACCTGTTTAAATACGTCGCGGACGAGGAGCGAGTCTTTCACGAGCTGGCCGGCGACGATCAGCTTCTGTCGCGCGGGGTCGGGGTGCCCCGCGTACTCCTCCTGCAGCTGTCGCTTCACGTCGCCCACCGTGCCCGCCGCTCGCACTCGCGTCTTGAAATCGCCGGGCGACGACGCGGAGGGGTTCTTGATGACCACCGTCACCATCGCCTCGCCCTCCGCCTCCGGCGACTGTACTTCCTCCGATGCCATCACAAAGCCTGATGCCGCTGACCGGGCAAAACGAATTAATCCCTGATGACCGAAGAATAACTAGAGTTCTATGTGCGGAATTGACGCGTGGGGTTGCGGATCGAAGGGAAAGCAGCTGATGAGAGTGAGGAGCAGAAGGGGTGAGCAGCAACAAGCGGTTCATCGATTCTGCCGAGTTCCCTTTCCCGCCAACACCACCATCCTACCGTTTCTGGAATACCGAAAGTCACTTCGCCAGCAAGGATTTACACGCAGTGGGCGAAGTTTGCGAAATTACGCTTGCGAAGTCGTCCAATTTGGGGGTTGCACCGCACAGTACCACGGAATCTCCTTCCACAAGTTGGAAGGGGCACAGCTGGCGTGGAATTCACGGCAGCAGCACCACGAATAATCTCAAACAAACAATTCCCAACCAAATGTCTTTCTGGAAATAATGTCAGGCTGATTCTTCAGTAAAATTATTAGGGCGCTTGTCTTTTGAAACCTAGGCCAAAGTTCATGTTTTTAGGTCGAATTTTTGCAAATGAACACAGGTCGACCAGTAGTCGACTATCTCGTCATTCATTTGTCGAGTCGCGTGTTCACCTTGACGAGGAGTACATGGCACAAGAAATGCTCGACTTTCAGAGGTCGAATTTGTACAGTAAAACCCGACTCGCGCCCAGCTTTCGTATGTTACCCTGTCTATACAGTGGAGTTCGCTAACACTTTCAGCTTTGGTAACCTGGCGCGACGTTGTTCGTAACCATCGCGAAGCTCGCAGCTTCTTCGTGCGTGGGCAGAAGAACACACGATTGGAGAAAAGTGCTCGGGGATAGTCGAATGCGAGGTCGACCCTAGTTCAGTGTCCTTCTGTTTCGGCAACTTTGAGCTTGGACACAAGATCGTCGTCAACAGCTCTTAACGAAATTGGCGAAGATGGTTACCAGCAAAAGTTCGACCTTTTTTTTGAACTTCTACACCAAAAGACACGCGCCCTTAGCTTGTACGGACCCTGCTTTGAAGGTAATAGCATTGTCACCGAACGCAGAAGCGCGCCTAAACGTGTGCGAGTGCTAATTGCATAGGTCTCACTGGTACGTGAGATTCCTTCAAGGGGAGTGATGTTGTCGGTCCACACGCGCGTGTGACGCGCGCCGTGCGTGTGCGCGCATGGCGGGCAAGAAGAAGGCGCGCGGCCATCGAGGCGGAGGCGTTCGCGCGGGGGCCGGGCGGCATCGGCGGGACGAGGAGGAGGAGGACGAGGAGCTGCGCGCGCAGCAGCTCGACGAGCTCACCGCCATGTACGTGCCGCCTTCCCCGCCATGTACGCGCCGCCCTCCCCGCCATGTACGCGCCGCCCTCCCCGCCATGTACGCGCCGCCCTCACCGCCATGTACGCGCCGCCCTCACCGCCATCTACGCGCCGCCCTCACCGCCATGTACGCGCCGCCCTCCCCGCCTTGTACGCGCCGCCCTCCCCGCCATGTACGCGCCGCCCTCCCCGCCTTGTACGCGCCGCCCTCCCCGCTGAGGGTACGGCCATGTGCTGCCGGCATCATTTCGTGTGAAGGCGTGTTCAGCCACATTGCCGCACGCCAGTAGCATTGTACCTCTCTGCTGTCACACCTCTGTCCCGTGCTCCCTTCAATGCTCTCTGCGCGTGCTCCCGCCCATCCACTTTGCTGCCTCGCTGCCGCGTCCCCCCCTGCGTGGGCAGTTCCGCCATCTTCGCGGACGACTTTGAGCTGCGCGCGGAGCGGCCGCTGGTGGAGTACGCGCTGCTGCTGCGCCCGCACTACTCCTTCGCCGCGCACGCCAACCTCGACGCCGTCTCCCTCCACCTCGTCGTCAGGCAAGCAACCTCGCACGCATGGTCGCTCGCACGCATGGTCGCTCGCACGCATGGTCGCTCCCAGGCAAGCCCGCTCCCAGGCAAGCCCGCTCCCAGGCAAGCCCGCTCCCAGGCAAGCCCGCTCCCAGGCAAGGTCGTGGTGAGGCAGGATTGCGGTGAGGCAATGAGGTGTGAGAGCATGGTGTGGTGGCGACGACATGGGCGCATGTCGGGGGTGCAGCGGGAGATGGCCGCGCCCACTCTTTCATTCCCTCCCCTTCCCCTGCCCGCCCTGCTCGTGCAGGTACGTGGCGGGGTATCCGAGGCGGCCGTTGAAGGTGCGAGTGGAGGCGAGGGAGGGGTTGCAGCAGGAGGACGTGGTGGAGCTGGTGGCGCTGCTGCACGACCAGGTGGGCGCAGGGGGTCGAGGACCAACACGCGCCTCTCTGCTTGCCGCTCCCCGTCCCTTGCACACCTCCCTCCTTTCTTCCGAGTGCTCCTTTCCAATGTGTGCGCCCATTGCTGTGTGTGTGCCGGTGCGCTGTGACTTTTGCCCATGCGTGGTGCACGCGGCGTGTGGGCATGCAGGCAGCGCGGGCAGCACGGGAGGGGCGGGTGACGGTGTTCAACCTGGCCGAGACAGCGCAGGAGTTCCTCTCTCGCCGCCTCTCAGCTCTGTCGCCCGCCACTCACCACCCTCTTGCTCCCACCCAGGTGCGCTTCCTTCATCGCCCTTCACCTGCTGCCTTGTCACTCTCCCATGTGCTGCATGTGTCTGCACATACCTAACCCCGCTCCTCACAGCCGTCACAGCTTCCGTGTTGCGTCCCCTGCATCTGTCCTGGAGCGCTTGCAGGCGGGCAGCGATGGGGGGGAGGCAGAGGGCGAGGCAGAGGGCGAGGCGGAGGGCGGGGAGGAGGGGTGGGAGGGGGCGTGCGCGTGGGAGGACAGTGTGGACGCGGGGCTCTTCTCCGACGCCCTCGCTGCCCTCCCCCTCGCCCCCTCTGCCTGGCCCCCTGCCCCGGGTGCTGCAGGCGCAGGCAGGGGCAGGGGCAGAGGCAGGGGCGCAGGCAGGGGCAGAGGCGGGGGGAGCAGTCAGGAGGGCGGAGCTGGGAGGGGAGGGGTGGAGGACGGCGGGCGAGGGAAAGGACGAGGAGCGAGTGGAGGAGGAAGAGGGGGCCTTGGGGGCAGGACAGGGGGAGATGGGCGAGTTGCAGAAGCAGGGCGAGGGAGGAGTGGCGGCACTGCTGTGGGTGGTGGTGGCGGTGGCGTGGGGAGGGCGGGTGCAGTGGGTGGTGGGGTGAATATGCAGAGGCAGCAGAGTGAAGAAGCAAGCGAGTCGTCGCGGGAGGGAGAGGATGGGGAGGAAGAGCAGCAGGAGAGTGGAGAGGAGGAGAGCCAAGGCAGCGGCGGCAGGGGGCGGCAGAGGGGCATGGGGCTGTGGCAGCATGGGGGCGACAGCGCATCTGATGGCTCTGCCTCCGACAACACTGCCCCCTCCGCCTCCAGCAGTGCGTGGCCGCTGGGGTATTCTGCGGTGACGCTGTCAGCGTCGGGGGGAGGGGAAGAGGACACAGGGGGGTCGGTGGGCGAGCTGATTCGGCGCGTGAGAGACGGGCTCAGGAGTATGCAGGTGCTGGCAGAGGTGAGTGGTGGACTGACAAAGGGGAACAGGTTACGGGTACAATTGGGTTCTCAATCTCTTTGCTTTCAATGCTTAACTCCTGGGCTTTAAGTTCCCCCCATGAACAGATGCTCCCTGTTCCCTGCTGCCTGTTCCTCTGTGTGTGTGTGTGTGTGTGTGTGTGTGTGTGTGTGTGTGTGTGTGTGTGTGTGTGTGTGTGTGTGTGTGTGTGTGAGTGTGTGTGTGTGCATGTGGTGGCATGTGGCAGGTGGAGCAGCTGGTGGGCCATCAGAGGAGCACAGCCAGCACAGCGAGGCACAGGGGAGCAGGCGGCGCGCGCACGCAGCAGGACGGTGATGATGATGGAGGGGATGAGGAGGAGGGGGAGGAGGACGAGCAGAGTGAGGAGGAGGAGGAGGACGATGAGGATGAGGAGGAAGAGAATGAAGGGAGAAGTTTCTCAACGGATGGAGGGACGGCAGTGGGTGCAGATGGGAGGGATGCAGCGCAGGGAGCCACTGCTGCTGCAGCTGCGGTGCTGGCCTCGGCCTCAGGAGCACAGCGCCATGGGTCGCGAGACATGTACACGGGCATGATCCAGCGCGACCTGCTCCTCGTACCCCCTCCCCCACCCTGCGCCCTGCTCGCTCCGTGCATTGCCCTGCTGCCCTCCTAACAAGCATTATCTTCATCAATCCTCTTTGAACCTGTGACTCTGCATCGTTCCGCTCATCACCCCGCTGTCCGTGCAGGCTCACCTGCTGCGCATGGTCACGAGCCACAACGGACCTCTGCCCCACGCCCTGCCTGCCCTCGCCTCTCAGCTGCACGCTCTTGAGGTAACCATGTGCCCTGTGGTAACCACATGGCTGGAGGTAACCACATTGTTTGGGGTAACCACATGGCTTGTGGGAAGCACCTGTCATGAGGTAACATTATGCTTTGAGGTAACCACACGCAATGATCGCTGCAGGATTAGTTATCGCAATGGAAACAGCGAGGGATGATGCAGCTATCTAACGTGTGCGTGCGTGTGTGCGTGCGTGCGTGCGTGTGTGTGTGTGTGCATGTGTGCGCCCATGTGCACCGTGCGCAGGTGATACCGCAGTGGGTGGCGGATCTGCTGCACCATGACCCGCGCCTCATCGACCGTGCCTTCCACCGCGTCTTCAGCAAGCCCGCCCGCCGCCTCACCTCGCACGCCCATGCTGACCCATCTGTGAGCCGCTAGCCATGCCATGTGCTTGCCTCATCCCTGCTGCCTGCTCTGGAACTCCCTCCTCCTGGCCTGTCCGTCCATGCATGCGTGCACCAAACCAGCTGTCTGTGTGTGCGCCCTTGCATGGCTGCTGTGGTGCCTGTGTTGTCATGGTATGGCATCTAACGGGGCGTGTAAGGGGTGCGGCTGTGCTGTGACGCCACTTTGACACTCACAGGTGCAGCGGGCGCTGCAGCGGTTCTGGTCGGGCAGTGCGGGGGGGCAGGGCAGCGCTGCAGATGCGGCAGCACAGGCGTCGGGGTCGCGCTACCTCTCTGACTTCGAGGAGGTCGCCATGCTGGGTGGGTGACGCCATGCCATGCCATGCTGGGTGGGTGACGCCATGCCATGCCATGCCATGCCATGCTGGGTGAGTGAGGTGATGCCATGCTGGGTGAGGCCATGCCATGCCATGCCATGCCATGCTGGGTGAGTGAGGTGATGCCATGCTGGGTGAGGCCATGCCATGCCATGCCATGCCATGCTGGGTGAGTGAGGTGATGCCATGCTGGGTGAGGCCATGCCATGCCATGCCATGCCATGCTGGGTGAGTGAGGTGATGCCATGCTGGGTGAGGCCATGCCATGCCATGCCATGCTGGGTGAGTGAGGTGATGCCATGCTGGGTGAGGCCATGCCATGCCATGCCATGCCATGCTGGGTGAGTGAGGTGATGCCATGCTGGGTGAGGCCATGCCATGCCATGCCATGCTGGGTGAGTGAGGTGATGCCATGCTGGGTGAGGCCATGCCATGCCATGCCATGCCTTGCTTGCTCTGTATGCCGCCGTCCCTGGTGACTCTCACAACCTTCCACTAGTTCCCTGCCATGAACCCCTCGTGTTGTGCCACCTGTGTGTGTGGAGCAGGCAAGGGCGGGTTTGGGTCGGTGGTGCTGTGTGTGAACAAGCTGGACGGGCGCAAGTACGCCATCAAGAGGATTCCCCTCCGGGGCAAGAGCCCCGCCCTCAACTCCAAGATCCTCAGGTGCCCTGCCCCTCCCACCCTCCTTCGCTCTCACCCTCTCACCCTCTTGCCCTCTCAACCGCTCACACTCTCAACCTCTCACCTTCTTACCCTCTGACCCTCTGGCCCTCGTGCATGTGCGGCGGGGCCATGGCAGGGAGGTGGCGACGCTGTCGCGCCTGCAGCACCAGCACGTGGTGCGCTACTACCAGGCCTGGTTCGAGACCGGCGCCGGCCACTCCACTCGCCACCTGCCCGCTTACAGCGACATGGACAGCATGGAGGGCAGCGCGAGCCCCACCGCGAGCACGTCGCTGGCGTCGGCATCGGAGTGGCTCACACGCGATGCACACCTCACCCACTCCCACAGCGTGCGGGGGGGGAGGGACAGCAGGAGAGGGGGCGAGGCGGAAACGACGTACCTGTACATTCAGATGGAGTACTGCCCCAGGTGCGCTCAGATGGAGTACTGCCCCAGGTGCGCTCAGATGGAGTACTGCCCCAGGTGAGTCGTCTGTCATTGCTTTCCCGTCTTCATACCTTCTGCTCTTTGCACGTCTTCCTTTTGCGGTTGTGATGGAAGAATCTGCACCTATCCCTTTGTGTTTCGACCACACTCATTACATGCGTGTTTCTACCCTGAGCACTCTTCTCCTTTCGCCGGCCTGCCCTTGTCCCGCCCTCCCCTCGCCTGTGCCTGCCAGGACGCTGCGGCAGGTGTTGGAGGCGAGGGGGGGGGACGAGGTGGATGGTGCGTGGGCGTGGAGGGTGTTTCGGCAGGTGGTGGAGGGGCTGCTGCACGTGCACGGGCAGGGCATCATCCACCGCGACCTCACCCCCAACAACCTCTTTGTGGACCCCCGCGGGGACATCAAGATCGGCGATTTCGGCCTCGGTGACCCCACACACGCCTGCGCGCCCACCTCACCTGCGTCCCCTGCATGCTGCGTCATCTGCATGTTTAGTCAGTTTGTTAGTCACTTTTCGTTCTTTCTTCATTTGTTCTGGCTCTCATCTGCTTCTTTTCCGTGATCCTGCGTGTGTGTCTTTTACTCGTCTGTCCTCCCCTCACCTCCCTACCCTGCACGGCAGCCAAGTTCTCGGAGCTGGGGGAGGGCGTGGGGGAGGGCGTGGGGGAGGGCGTCTCTGTTGCAGGCGCTGGAGAAGAGGCAGAAAGGGAAGGGAGCCCTGAAGGGGGTGCAAAAAGGGGGGAGAGGGCAGGGGGGGCGATGGGGGAGAGGGCAGGGGGGGCGATGGGGGAGAGGCGGCAGTCGGCGACGGGGCAGGTGGGGACGTACTTCTACACGGCACCCGAGGTGGAGCAGGGCTGGGCGCACGTGGACGACAAGGCAAGTGCTCGCGGCATCCGCTCCCCCCTCACCCTGCACGCGCTGTCATCTGTTACCTCTCGACTGTACGCCTGTCAATGCCCTCACCCGTTCCCTGTGCGTCCATATGCCGTGGCATGCGACTAACATGCGAGTGTGACGTGGGTGGGGTGGGCAGGTGGACATGTGGAGTGTGGGCGTGGTGCTGCTGGAGTGCTGGCACCCCTTCCACACGGCCATGGAGCGCGCTCACACGCTCTCAGCCCTCAAGCTGCACCGCACCATTCCTCACGAGTGGGCGTCCAAGCACCCCCAGGTGCGCCCTGCCACGCACATGGGTGCTCCACCACCCGCCTGTGTGCGTCTGTGTGTTTCTGTGTGTACCCAAGTGCCTGTATGTGCCTGTATGTGCCTGTGTGTGCCTGTTTGCACCTGTGTGTGTGTGTGTGTGTGTGTGTGTGTGTGTGTGTGTGTGTGTGTGTGTGTGTGTGTGACACTTCTCCACAGGTGGCGGAGCTGGTGAGGCGGCTGCTGAGCCCGCTACCCAGTGACCGCCCGTCAGCAGCGGAGGTGTTGCGCTCCAACCTCATGCCGCCGCGCATGGAGGATGAGGCGCTCAACGGTGGGTGCTTGCCTGCCAAAGGGGGTTGGGGTTGGGGGGGCACTCTCGCTGCGCTGCGCTCCACTCCTCTTATCTTCCCATGCTGCACACTTCCCTGCCTGCACACAACCTTCCCTGCATGCGCTTCCCTGCCTGTGTATCGTGTGCTGATTCCCATGGCCCTCGCCCCTCCCTCACTCGTGTGTGCCCCTGTGCCTCCCCTGCATGCCCCTGGGGGCGAGCAGGCATACTGAGGGCCATCCAGGCGCGGGGGGACGACTCCTCGTCCGCTGGTCCCTCCTCGTCGGCCGTGTACGACCGCGTGCTCGCCGCCATCTTCGCCCGCCTCCCCGCCTCCCCTCCCTCCTCCGCGCCCACCCCGCCTCCTGTGCGCGCGCTGCCTGGCGGGGCGGGGGGTGGGGAGGAGGAGGAGTGGGAGCGGGGGGCGGTGCGGTGGACGGGGGCGAGGGAGGCGTTCATGGCGGGCGTGCAGCGCATCTTCCAGCGCCATGGCGCCCTGCGCTCCGACACACGTGTCGTTGACTTTGCCTATCCCGACCGCCGCACCCACGAGTACGTCAACCCGAACCCCTCAATGTTGTCTGTGTGCTGACCTTCTTGCTATGATCTCTCTTCGTCTGCCCTTGCTTTTTTCTCTCATCTCTCTTCCGCTCTTCCTACCTGTCCCTGCGCCCCTGCAGGCTGGCAGTGCGAGTGGTGGACGCACAGGGCTCGCTGCTCTCACTGCGCTACGACACCCGACTCACCTTCGCCCGCTGGGTCGCCGCCACACAGGTGATGCCATGCACGTGATGCCATGCACGTGATGCCATGCACGTGATGCCATGCACGTGATGCCATGCACGTGATGCCATGCACGTGATGCCACATGTGTGTTCTCTCATTCATCAAGCGCACACCGCGTGTGCCCCATGTCTCCCCATCCCCCCCCCCCTCCCAGACCTCGTCTCTGAAGCGCTTCCAGTTCTCCTCTGTCTTCCGCCGCGCTCCCGGTCGCCGCCCCCCTCACGATTACCTGCAGGTGGGCCGTCTGACCCGTTGAAACACAGGGGGGGGGGAAGGGGGGAAATTGGGTTGGTGGAAAGAGGTCCAGGGTGTATGGGCATGGGGTTTAAGTTACAAGTGTTGCTCGCCACGTGTGCGGCACTCCTAGTCGGTGTAGAGCATTCTCAGGTGAGTGCTGAACAAGCTTGTATGCGTGCTAGCTATCTCCTTGGGGCCTGACAGCAGTGCATGGCAGGGTAGGGTGCGCCTTGAGCCTTGCCCACCAATGGCAAAATCAACTGCGCATCTCTTCCTCTCTTGCCGCCCCCCCCTGTCCTCCACCATGCCCCTGGCATCCTGATTTTACCCCGTGCCATGTGATGGGTGCGGGCATGTGCATTGCGGTGGGAGTGGGTGGCAGGCAGACTTTGACATTGTGGGAGGGACGCCAGTTCTGGCAGATGCTGAAGCCATCAAGGTGCGTTCTCAGGCAGCGCTATGCTCGTCCATGTACCTCACATCACACATGCGTCCCTTCCACCCTCCTCCACACACAAGTGCCCACTTGCACACTAACAAGATTCACGTGCCCCAGTGCTGCAACAGAACAGCTCCAGCTTACCCTTTTCCCCGCCTTGCCTCTCTACCTGCTGCCTTTCGCCCTGCTGCCTCGCGCCGTGCTGCATGCAGGTGGCGGTGGAGGTGGTGGAGGGGAGTGGGGCGGGATGGGGGGCGGTGGAGGTGCGGCTGAGCCACCGCGACCTGCTGTCTGCCATCTGGCAGTGGGCGGGGGTCACACGCCCACAGGTCGCCAGTGTCGCCCAGGTCACTCCCCTTCCTCCTGCCGCCTGCTCCCGTTCCCTCTTCTGCCTGCTCCCCTCCCCTTCAACCATGCCCACCACCCACACCACCCACCATCTTCAAACATCTCCCATGCGTCACAGCACCATGCCACCCTGCACTCCCCTCACCCTTCCACCTGCGCTCATGCCTCCCTGCCACGCCCCTCCTCTCTCCCCCTGCACACCCCCCCCCACCCTGCCCGCGGGCAGTTGTTGGCGCTGCTGGGCGGCTCCCCCCCCACAGCCCCCTCCCGCAAGGCTGCCTGGCCTCTTGTTCGCCGCCAGCTTCTGCAGGTGCGTGCGTGCTGCTGCATGCTGTAAGGAGGTGCGTGCGTGCTGTGAGGAGGTGCGTGCGTGCTGTGAGGAGGTGCGTGTGTGTGTCGTGAGAAGGTGCGTGTTGGTCCGTCCTTCCATGGTCCATCATACGTCTGCCTGTCTGTTCATCTGTGTGTCTTTGTGTGTTTGAGCGTTTGCGCGTGTGTGCCGCTGTGCCCGTGTGCCCATGTGTCTGTTCCTGTGCGCCGGCTTGTGTGGGTGAGTGGGTGCGGTGCGGTGGCAGGGAGTGGGGCTGGGTGAGGCGGTGGTGGATCGCCTGCAGGCGGTGGAGAAGCGCTTCAGTGGGCCGGCAGACGATGCCATGGCGCGCCTCACAGGGGCGCTGCCACCAGGTGTGCTCTGTTCCATGTGGGCCTCAATGCAAAAGAAACCTTCACTATAATGAGTTCTGCCCATCCAACTGATTTCTTCCACTCATGAGTTTCCATTTTCCCTTACATGCCCCCTCTCTCCCTGAATGCCCTTTCTCCCATGTCTCATCCTCCCCCCCGGGCCAGGCCCACTGGTGGCGGCAGCGCTGGAGGAGCTGGGCGAGCTGCTGGCGCTGCTGCGCGTGTGGGGCATCCACCCCGCCTGCACCACCATTGACGCGCTCATGGCGCCCTCCCACCACTACTTCTCCAAATGCTTCTTCCAGGTCTCACCCACCCCCTTGTTATTTCCCTTAAGCTCCCTCTTTGATTTTGCTGCTCCTGTTTCCTGCTTCCGTGCATGTGACATGCAGCCATGGAATATTTCCAGTTCTTATTTCCAGCCTTGTTCACCGTGCCTCCTGCGTGCGCTGTATCTCCTGCGTGCGCTGCACCTCAGGTCCACGCAAGGCACCTGCCGTCTCAACCTCCCCATCACCAGCACCACCACCATCATCACCAGCAGCAGCACCCCCTGAACCCTACCAGCACGCAGCGCACCACCGTGCCTGCCTCTGATGCGTCCTTGCCTGGCGCTCGCTCGCTCTCCGCCTCGCCCCCATCCGCCCTGGCCGCCCCGTGGTCGTCCTCGCCGCCCCTCTGCGTGGCCGTGGGTGGCCGCTACGATGCCCTGCTGCTCCACCTCTCCTCCTCCTCCTCCACTGCTGCTGCCGCTGGGAGAGGAGCGGTGGGTTGTTCAGACGGGGATGCGTATTAGGGGCAGGAAGTCGAAGTGCGTGGCATGGTCTGGCAGTACCGGGGACTTGTTGTGACCTCCATGCTTGCAGGGCTGGCGTGTGGTGTGGTGTGGGGTGTGAGACGTGGGTAGCTCCACTGTACCATCCCCATATTCCCCTATTTTGTTTTTGTCATTCCCTGTTTGCATGTTGTTCCCTCTCCTTGTTCTCGCCTGTTAGTCTGCTGCTCCCTGCTGTAACCGTAAAGTGTTGTCGTGTGCCTCTTGGTCCCTTGCCTGCGTGTCTGTGTCTCTCGTGTGTGCGCATGTCTGTGTCTGTGTCTCCTCCCTGTCATTGCATCTCCGTGGCCTGGCCCTCTCCTTGATTCTTGGTGCCGTGTGCTGCACGCCTCCTCTGCTGCGCAGAGCTCTCGGCCAAGAGGGGCAGGAGGCAGTGGGGGGGGCAGTGGGGCGGTGGGGGCGGTGGGGTTCAGTGTGGCGCTGCACAAGCTCATGGCGCCGTCACTCCCAACCACCCACCACTCTTCCAGGTGCCCGCTCACACGCGTCTTGCTCTCACCTCCACCACCCACTTCTTTCAACCCCTCTCACTTGCTTGGCACACCCTTCTCTTCGTCACTTTCCTTCCCTCATCCTCTCCTGCTCCACTCTCCCCTCACCCCTCCACCCGCACCCCCCTGTGCCTGTGTGTGGGGAGCAGGCAGGCAGCGGTGGATGTGCTCGTGTGCGCCAGGGGAGGGGCGGGGCTGCTCAGCGAGAGGATGGAAGTTTCTGCGCAGCTGTGGGCGGCAGGAATCAAGGTAGCTATGGGCGGCAGGAATATTAGCTTCGAACGGCGGGATAAAACAAGCTCTTGGTGGCAGGAAAACGTTCCTGGTGGGCAGTGGAAGCTTTCATGCACCATACTGTTTAGTGATGGATGATATGCTGCTTTTGACAACGTGGAATCCTGTCCCAACTGCCCAATGTGCGGTGCATGTGCGGCAGGCGGAGTATGTGTGCGTGCGGGCGCCGAGCCTGACGGAGCAGTACGAGCACGCGCACGAGCACGGCATCAAGTGGCTCGTGCTGCTCACCGATGCCGGCCTGCACACCCACTCTGCCAAGGTGCGTCTCGCTCTCACATGAGGATGGTAAGGCGGTCACAAGGGTGTGCGGGTGGGGGAGGGGGAGGGTGAGGGTGAAGAGGTGAGAGGGGGTTGGGAAACAAGAGTGCATCCTGTGTTTTGCGTGTGAGAGAGGGGAACATGAGTGGAGAGGAACGGAGGAAAGGGAAGACATAGGAGGGAAGGGAGGAGGGGTGAAAGATGGAGAGAGAGTCAATCTGTGCCTCTGGTCTCTCTGTGCACATCCGTGCTTGTATCAGGTACGGCATCTAGATTTGAAGACAGAGGAGGAAGTGAGCCTTGATGATTTGGTCAAGTTCTTCCTCGACGGCTTGCCGTCTCTACCCACTTCTCGCCGCCGTGGGGCCACAGCACCATCTGGTTCTGGCGCTGCTTGACTTCTGGCTCACCATAGTTTGAGCAAGTAGAGCATAACTACACCATTGCCATTTAAGACTCGTCTTTTGTATTTCAAATGTGCTAAAAATAATAATGAGAATGCTTTCTTCTTGTATGAAAATGTTATTGCTTCCAAATTGTTTTGTCCCTCGCCACATAACGCACATCTACACATGAAGGCGCGTGCAAGGACTGGTCCCTTAATGGCCTGAACGCTCGGAACGAGCGCTTTTAGCCCCAAAACGCGGAAGGACCCGCACACATGCAGGAAGTGCAGTGAGCGCTCTTCATTCGTGAGCGCCGATGGCCGATGATGCTCGCAACCCTCCCACGCCCTTGCTGGCTTGGTAATAGGCCCAGACGAGCGCAACCACGTGAGCCGGCGGAAGAAAAACGCTCGAAACGAGTGCTTCCAGCCCCAAAACGCGGACGGATCCGCACATGTGCAGGAAGTGCAGCGGACACTCTTGATTCGCGAGCGCCGATGACCGATGATGCTCGCAACCCGCTGCCTTGATAATAGGCCCAGACAAGCGCAGCCACGTGACCCGGCGGAAGAAAAACGCTCGGAACGAGCGCTTCCAGCCTCAAAACGCGGAAGGATCCGTACATGTGCAGGAAGTGCAGCGGGCGCTTTTCATTCGCGAGCACCGATGACCGATGATGCTCGCAACCCTCCCACGCCCTTGCTGGCTTGGCAATAGGCCCAGACAAGCGCAGCCACGTAACCCGGTGGAAGAAAAACGCTCGGAACGAGCGTTTCCATACTCAAAACGCGGAAGGATCCGCACATGTGCAGGAAGTGCAGCAGGCGCTCTTCATTCGCGAGCGCCAATGACCGATGATGCTCGCAACCCTCCCACGCCCTTGCTGGCTTGGCAAGAGGACAAGACAAGCGCAGCCACGTGACCCGGTGGAAGAAAAACACTCGGAACGAGCGCTAGTACCCCCAAAACGCGGAAGGATCCGCACATGTGCAGGAAATGCAGCGGGCGCTCTTCATTCTCAAGAGCCGATGACCAATGAAGCTTGCAACACTCCCACGCCCTTGCTGGATTGGCAAGAGGACCAGACAAGCGCAGCCACATGACCCGGCGGAAGAAAAACGCTTGGAACGAGCGCCTCCACCCCCAAAACGCGGAAGGATCCGCACATGTGCAGGAAGTGCAGCGGGCACTCTTCATTCGCGAGCGCCGATGACCGACGATGTTCGCCCTTGCTGGCTTGGCAAGAGGACCAGACAAGCGCAGCTATCTGACCCGGTGGAAGAAAAACGCTCGGAACGAGCGCTAGTACCCCCAAAACGCGGAAGGATCCGCACATGTGCACGAAGTGCAGCGGGCGCTATTCATTCGCGAGCGCCGATGACTGATGATGCTCGCAACTCTCCCACGCCCTTGCTGGCTTGGCAAGAGGACCAGAGAAGCGCAGCCACGTGACCCCGCTGAAGAAAAACGCTTGGAACGAGCGCCTCCACCCCCAAAATGCGGAAGGATCCGCACATGTGCAGGAAGTGCAGCGGGCGCTCTTCATTCGCGAGCGTCGATGACCGATGATGCTTGCAACCCTCCCATGCCCTTGCTGGCTTGGCAAGAGGACCAGAGAAGCGCAGCCACGTGACCCGGTGGAAGAAAAACGCTCGGAACAAGCGCTAGTACCCCCAAAACGCGGAAGGATCCACACATGTGCAGGAAGTGCAGCGGGCGCTCTTCATTCGCGAGCACCGATGACCGATGATGCTCGCAGCCCTCCCACGCCCTTGCTAGCTTGGCAAGAGGACCAGACAAGCACAGCCACGTGACCCAGTTGAAGAAAAACGCTCGGAACAAGCGCTAGTACCCCCAAAACGCGGAAGGATCCGCACATGTGCACGAAGGCGCTCTTCATTCGCGAGCGCCGATGACCGATGATGCTCGCAACCCTCCCACGACCTTACTGGCTTGGCAAGAGGACCAGACAAGCATAGCCACGTGAGCCGGTGGAAGAAAAACGCTTGGAACGAGCGCCTCCACCCCCAAAACGCGGAAGGATCCACACATGTGCAGGAAGTGCAGCGGGCGCTCTTCATTCGCGAGCGCCGATGACTGATGATGCTCGCAACCCTCCCACGCCCTTGCTGGCTTGGCAAGAGTACCAGACAAGCGCAGCCACGTGACCCGGCGGAAGAAAAACGCTTGGAACGAGCGCCTCCACCCCCAAAACGCGGAAGGATCCGCACATGTGCAGGAAGTGCAGCGGGCGCTCTTCATTCGCGAGCGCCGATGACCGATGATGCTCACAACCCTCCCACGCCCTTGCTGGCTTGGCAGGACCAGACAGATGCAGCCACGTGATCTGGTGGAAGAAAAACGCTCAGAACGAGCGCTAGTACCCCCAAAACGCGGAAGGATCCGCACATGTGCATGAAGTGCAGCGGGCGCTCTTCATTCGAGAGAGCCGAACATGGGAGTTGACGCTTTTATAGGGGAGTTGACGCTCTTATAGGAGAGTTGACGCTCTTATAGGAGAGCTGATGCTTTTATACGGAAGTTGACGCTCTTATAGGGGAGTTGACGCTCTTATAGGGGAGTTGACGCTCTTATAGGGGAGTTGACGCTTTTATAGAAGAGTTGACGCTCTTATAGGGAAATTGACGCTCATATATGAGAGTTGACGCTTTTATGGGGGAGTTGACGCACTTCTATGAGAATTGACGCTCTTGTAGGACAGTTGACGCTCTTATAGGAGAGTTGACGCTTTTATAGGGGAGTTGACGCTTTTATAGGGGAGTTGACACGCTTAAAGGGGAGTTCACGCTCTTATAGGGGAGATGATCTTCTAGAAAATTGACGTTCTTATAACGGAGTTTATGCTCTTACATAAGAGTTGACGTTCTTATACGAGAATTTATGCTCTTATAGGGAAATTGACGCTCTTATATGAGAGTTGACGCTTTTATAGGGGAGTTGACGCTCTTATAGGGGAGTTGACGCTCTTATAGGAGAGTTGACGCTTTTATAGGGGAGTTGACGCTTTTATAGGGGAGTTGACGTGCTTATATGAGAGTTGGCGCTCTTGTAGGAGAGTTGACGCTCTTAAAGGGGAATTGACGCACGTACATGTGAGTTGACGCTCTTATAGGAGAGTTGACGCTTTTATAGGGGAGTTGACGCTTTTATAGGGGAGTTGACGCTCTTATAGGGGAGTTGACGCTCTTATAGGGGAGTTGACGCTCTTATAGGGGAGTTGACGCTCTTATATGGGAATTGACGCTCTTATATTAGAGTTGAAGCTTTTATGAGAGAGTTGACGCACTTATATGAGAGTTGACGCTCTTATAGGAGAGTTGACGCTTTTATGGGGGAGTTGACGCTCTTATAGGAGAGTTGACGCTCTTATAGGAGAGTTGACGCTTTTATAGGGGAGTTGACGCTCTTATAGGGGAGTTCAAGTTCTTATTTGAGAGTTGCCGTTTTTATAGGGGAGTTGACTGTTGGAGTAGGCTAGAGTTCGCTCTGGCCTTTATTTTGGTGTTCTTATATTGTTATTTCTCTGGGCTTAGAGAGCGTTACGCACTCAGGTTCATTTTAGGTTCATTTCATAATTGTTAGAACAAACCGAACACACCCTAGGTTCAATTAGGGTTTCCAACCCTCTCTCTTTTGTATCTCGACATTCTCTTACTAGTCGAACTACTTCTACCTCACCAAAACCTCTCGCCATCCATGGCTACTACTAATTCAACATGGTATTCAGAGCCTAGTCCTAGGCGTTTCCGTTTTATCCGTATCTCCTAGAATTTTTCTGGCCATTAGGCCATTTCCGCGCTACTTAGCTAGACGATTTTCTGCTCGTTCTATTTTCTCGTTTCTTTAGAGTAACTCTCAGCATCCTTACGATTTTCTTCATTTTAGTCACGCGGATGCTCTATTCCGCTCCGTAGCGTGCCTCCCTACCGTCGAAATCGCTCTCCTGCGCCTTCTCCCTTCGTCGCGCCTCCTCCTCCTCACGTTCCCGGCGGTAGCGCGCTGATTTCTGCCAGTAGCGCGCTTAGCCGACCCCCCCCCCCACCCCCCCCCCCCCCCCCCCCCCCCCCCCCCCCTCCGCGCCCTCCCGTCTCGTCGCGCGTGCATTGCGCTGCCGTCGCCGCGCGCGCTTCGCTTCGTCGAGCAGCGCGCGCGCCTGCCTCCCCTGCGACGCGCCCTGCCCTTTCCCAATCCGCCCCCCCCCTTCCTCACCCTCCTCCTCCTTCCCTCTCTCCTTCGTGCATCCCTCACTACCTCACCTCTTCTTCCTCCTCTTTTCTCTTGTCATCTGCTGCAGCCGGTTGCTGATTGCGTTTTTGTTTTTTTGTTTTTTTTTAAGTTGTCGCTCCTCCACACCTTTCCTCCTCCTCCGTACCCTCCCCTCAACTGCTCAACTCCGAACTCCTTCCCAACTCCCCCTCCTCCTCTTGTTTCTCCGTTCAGCGGCCCAGCAGCTGACTATCTCGCCGCTATCCCTCCTCCTCTTATTTCTCCCCTCAGCGGCGCAGCAGCAGACTACTCCGCCACTATCCCTCCTCCTCTTATTTCTCCCCTCAGCGGCGCAGCAGCAGACTACTCCGCCACTATCCCTCCTCCTCTAGTTTCTCCCCTCAGCGGCGCAGCAGCAGACTACTCCGCCACTATCCCTCCTCCTCTAGTTTCTCCCCTCAGCGGCGCAGCAGCAGACTACTCCGCCACTATCCCTCCTCCTCTAGTTTCTCCCCTCAGCGGCGCAGCAGCAGACTACTCCGCCACTATCCCTCCTCCTCTTGTTTTTCCCCTCAGCGGCTCAGCAGCAGACTGCTTCGCCCTTATTCCTCCGCCTTCTATACCTCTCCCCTCATCTGCTCTGCAGCTGTCTCCTCCTCCTTATGGCGACTTCTCTCGCCCTCCCCTCCCTCCCTCTGCTGGTCCTTCAGCTTGCGCCTGATGGCAGCGCAGTCAACTTCCCCAGTTGGCTGAACTGTCTTGAGCGCACGCTGTCTGGCACCCTC